ATATATATATATATATATTTTTTTTTTTTTTAACTTGCCAAGATGTTCCATAAGAAGTCTGTGGCATAAGCCTATCACATTAGGTTCACTGGGACTATGACACCTCTGATGGATCAACAGCTCCCTGGGAAATAGGTTAATGAGGGTTTGGGATGTAAGCCTGGAGGCTGTCGGGGGCCAGCAGGCAGCCAGGGAACCCCAGGGGACTGGGCTGAAAGCCAGGAGAAGACTTCAGTCCAGGCAGGACCTGTCTCCAGGGAAGAACCCTGGGTTCCAGGACCAGCACTGGCTGCCTGGAAGCTGTGTCTCAGCTCAGTCTCTTTTCTCTCCCTGAAAGCAGGAAGAATTCTCCTCTCACTCTCACATGAAGAAATGAGGGAGTTAGCTAATGGGAGCTGGCACTGTGGAGTGTTTTACATGGGCCAAGCACTGTGCCATATCTATTAGGACAATCGCCATTCCATTTAATCCCCACAGGAACACTGGTGGTTGACTACTATCAATTACTCCTATTTTACAGATGGGGAAACTGAGGCTTGGTTAGGCCACTTGCCCAAAATCTCATTGCCATTAGCAGGTAAAGCGGGGATTAAATCCAGATAGACCGCATTAGCTATACTCTTACTGTGCGTATGATGGCTCTGCTCTCCTTTCTTTTCTTACCATGATCGTTTTTCTTTCTTAGAACAGGGGTCTTGTCTCAAGCTCTGATGAACCTCATTGGCTGCTACGCAGTGGAGAGTATTCCCGTTTCTAAAGCAGGATTTCTCAACCTCGGCCCCACTGACATTCTGGGTTGCATCATTCTTTGTTGTGAGGGGGTGTCCTGTGCACAGCAGTATGTCCAACAGCATCTGTGGCCTCTATCCATGAGACGCCAATAACCTTCCTCCAAGTTGTGAGAACGAAAACTGTCCCCCGACATTCCCGAATGTGCCCTAGGATGGGGAGGGGAGCATAACAGCCCCTATTGAGAGCCGCTGGTCTGAATAAATAGGGAGGATGAGGAAGGGAGGGAGGGAGGTATAGGACAGAGCTGGCCGAGGGAGGACTATGCTGAGGTCCCCCTTAACCGCGTTATCTGTACAGTCACAGTCAGTAGGACGTGGCTTTGGCTTGAACACACTCCATGAAATGGGGTGGTGGCTGGATGTAGATTCATGTTTTTTCTTTGATAACCCCTGTGCATGGGGAGGTCGGGCTAATGTTCTTTTGGGAGCTTGGGCTGGTTACCTACAAAAGCCATATTCCTACAATTCTTTTATTACCCCCTTTTATCCCCTTTAGCATGTAGTCAGCACTCAGTCAACAATTATTTAATAGACCTAGCTTCCTGCACTATCTTTTCTGTAGAACAGCGGACGCACAAAACAGACCATGTGTGGCCAGAAATGGCATCCGCACAAAACCCAGGCGCTGACGCTCTGGAGCTGACTAAAGCTCACACTTCGCTGGCATTTGCGCCAGTCACTCTTGGCAAAGAGCTCTTCTTGAACCGAAGAAAACCAAGTGGCCAGTGAATGGCTCTTCCAAACGCTTGTCAGGGATGGAAACAGTCCCCACCAGGATATGGGAGCACATTTTTATATTTAAAAGCTGTAACTAGCATTTTGGAGATCCTGGAGTGTTTCCTTCCTTCTTCCACGGTAGGGAAATAATGAGGGGAATGAATTCCTGGTGAAAAAAGGAACGATGCCTCTCTCTCTCTCTCTCTCTCTCTCTCTCTCTCTCTCTCCCCCCCCCTCTCTCTCTCTCCCTCTCTCTCTCTCTCTCTCTAACTTTGATTGTTCGTCCCCTCCCATATGCAATAGTGATAGGGTAGTGAAGCTGGAAATAAAATTGATTTGATCTCTGGATGGGTTTATCAGACCAATTGCCTTTTTCATGAGTGAGAAAAAGTTCTCATATGAGTTTTGAACCCAGGCCTCAGAAAAAAACAAAAATATTTCACATTTGAAAGACCTCAGTGACTGCTATTGTTCCTTCCTTGTTTACAATCCCAAATTAATTTCAATTTTCAACCAGATCCTTCTTTTTCTGAGAAAATAAAATAAGTTAGCTTCCTGAGATCAAGAGCAAAAGCAACTCAAAATAAAACATCTGCCATAAATTCTCCCATTCCTTAGATGTTAGGGAGATTCATTAATCAGGAGGTGAAATCAAAATAATCTTAATGAATTCAAAATCACTCCCTCTGCTCCCATGGTCATTTAGACACTTACTTTAATGATGCTCTACAGACCACACTGCATGTGAATTAATGCCCAGCTTTTCCCAGGCGGGTTTTGGAGGTGTTCCACTCTGCATATCTCATGCATCTCTGTCCTCTGCTTTCAGAAAAGACATCTGTGGGGGTGTCAATCGCCCCTGCGAGACGCTGGGCCTGTCTCACCTGTCGGGCATGTGCCAGCCTAGCCGGAGCTGTAACATCAATGAAGACTCGGGCCTCCCGCTGGCCTTCACAATTGCCCATGAGCTCGGACACAGGTAAAGGGCCAAGGAACCTGCGCTCTCTTCGCCGTGTCCATGTGTCAGTATCAGGTAGTAGACGGAATGGGAAGCACCTTAAAGGGGCATAGGCAGTGGGACTGCGCTAGGGCTTGAAACTCACCCTCCTCACCTGTAACGTTAGACATAATCACACACTTTAAGGACCCCAGGGCCTCCTCTGCCCTGACCGCCTGTACCATCTGCAGTTCCCTGGAGTAAAATGAGGCGAGCAGGAGCAAGGAGATAAGCTTTAACTCATTGTTTAATGCAGGAGAAACAATGCCTGTTTAGTGTTTAGTTCTTATGACATAATAATTGTATTGATATCATTAAAAAGTCACATTTTGTGCCCTTCCTTTATGCCAGACACTTGGCATCATGCCATTGAATCACTCAATGACCTTATGATGTAGGTCACATTGTGAATCTCATTTCACTTCCATGTGTAAAGGAGAACATTGACTAAATAAGAAATTGAAAACTGCTATAAACTTGGAAAGACCATCAAACAAACACCAGTGAACAGGAGGTCTGAGTTGTCCCAGAAATGTGTAACTTTGATTAGATGAATTTGTTAAAAGCTGGTTTCAGAATGTTTGCGTCAAGGAATAAGGAGGATTCAGGAGGTCCCCGTGGAGGAAAGATCTTAGCTTATTTGTCACGCACTTAGTTGGGCTGTTTACAAACCACAGATAAGAGCGCATCACACGAACCAGCGACTCAGAGAGGGGAGCCAAGTAAATGACTCAACTACAGGCCCTGCCTGTCAGGCGGCTGCCAGCCTGGAATTCCTCCCTCCAAAGAAGGGACAGAACGCTGGGGTGTGCTCAGGTGTGCTTCTGGAAAAGGTGGCCTTGGGAAGAACCCCGGAGACGGGCTTATTCCTGTCCTGGCCTCTCCGGCCTGGGCTTTCTCGTCATTTTTTTCATGTCATATTGGAACTTTGCAAACTGCCTTTACCTGTAGAGGATTGGCTTTGGAGTTGGGAAAAGCGAGTGCTTATTCCCGGCTTTTCCATCAGCAGCTATGATGACCTTAGATAATTGCCTTCACCTCTCTGCACCTGTTTTCTTATCTGTGCAATGAGTAGATGGAATAAGGCAGTTTCTTAGGTACTATGATTTCTTTGATCCTTACCAAAAACCCCTAGGAGATCAATGTGATGTATTCCAGTATCTTGCTGTTACAGGCTATTTGAGTCAGCTTAAATCTTGGCAACTCTATGAATGCGTGATGGCCACATGTGCTGTCCTCGGCAGCCCTGCCAGCTCCCATAGATTCATGCCTGTGGCTTCATTTATGGCGTCAACCCATCTCATATTTGGTCTCTCCCTTTTCCTGCTGCCTTCTCCCTCCCTCCCCCCAGCAGTATTGTCTTTTCCAAAGAACCCTGCCTTCCCAAGCTGCGTCCCTTGTGGAAGTGTCCCATCGGCTTCCCCTTTCATGTTCTCCCATAAATTACGGTGAAAAGGGACAAGGATGTGAAAAGGGAGAAAGATGGTTTTGTTCTTTTGTGCTGTGAGTACCGCAGCAGGAGAAAGAAGACAGCTTGAGGCAGCATTGGCCCTCCTGACTCTAGACTCACAGAAAGCCAACCGGGAGCTCTTCACTTTCTACCAAACAGACATTTTTGAATTAGCCACATGGCTCCCCCGGGTGCATAGACGAGACAAATCTTGCCTCAGATGTTCCCTGTGCTTTTGGGTTGAAAATGAGCTACTCCCTCCAACTTGAAAGGTGCACTTCGGAAGCAGAAGCCTTCTGTACAGAAGTAGCACTCGATGGTATTCACCTTGCGGGAACTCTGGCTTTCTCCCCGCTGCATGCCTGCCTCCTTGATATCCGTGGGCTTGTGCCTCCCTGCAGCTTCGGCATCCAGCATGACGGGAAGGAAAACGACTGTGAGTCCGCCAGAAGGCACCCCTACATCATGTCGCGCCAGCTCCAGTACAACCCCATCCCGCTGACGTGGTCCAAGTGCAGCAAGGAGTATATCACCCGCTTCCTGGAGTAAGTGACAGCGTGGCTCAGAGCAGCTCCACCTGGGTCCCCTTACACTGGAAGTCACGTGGAGTGTCACGTGAGGCCTGGAAAAGTCTCAGCTCCTCTCACAGGCCACAGCGTCTGAAGGGGTGGATTTCACTTCCACTTTCTGACCCTGAGATCTAGGTGGGCTCTGCCCTACGGCCACAACCAGGGGAACACCTGTCCCCCAATGGCTCCCGTCTCATGGTGGCTCTTTAGGAGCTGGGTGTGTGGACTGGCAGGAGCAACCAGGATATGTCAGAAGTGGTCACCCAAACCCCATGGGGGATAAGGTGATGATTCTCTCATTTTACCACTGCTTGCATTTCCTACTTCACAGCTGAACCAATGGAATGGGATGTGGTTTGGGTTTCCTTTTAGCTCCTACTATGGGCCTGGAGGGGCCTCTGTCTTGTGGAAATAAGCTTGTCTTGAGGACAAAGAGTGAACTGGAGGGGCAGAAGCTTCTGTTGCATGAAAGACTGAAGACAAAGGAAATCATAAGTATCTCTTCTCATTTCTATTAACTTCGTTTCAGCCGAGGCTGGGGGTTCTGTCTTAATGATATGCCCCAAAGGAAAGGCTTGAAGTCCAAGGTCATTGCCCCTGGAGTGATCTATGACGTTCACCACCAATGCCAGCTGCAGTATGGCCCCAATGCTACCTTCTGCCAGGAAGTAGAAGTAAGTGGCGGGTGTCCTGGTGGCTCTGGTGGGCATGTGCAGGGCTGGAGGTCTCCAGCACGCTGAAAGAAGGGCCAGGGAGATATTTGGAAATCCCAAGGCCCAGACACAGAAATGCAAACTTTCCATTACGGCACCGTGTCTATAAAGCAGAAGGATTGATGTTGGGGTCATTTCTATTCCTTGACTCTAGCTCCTTGGTATCCTGTGGAGCCAGCAATTCTTTGCAGCTGAGTGGTGGTGAAGAAAATTCTATAGTGATTTTTCAAGAATCACAATTATTCACACCTACAGACTCCATAGCAAACAATGTAATCCCTAACATTGCTCTCTTTTCTGAATTTCCCATCTGGTTAAAGAGTTTTACCAGATCCCAAGATCGGAATAAGATTCATCCCCAATGTATTCTTTATTTTCAACATCTGATGATACCTCCTAAAGAGTTGGTGGCTCTGTCCTGTCTCTTTCATTCCCACTACTTCTGTCTTGATTCAGTCTCTCATCATCTCTCCTTGCTGTTGTAATTACCTCCTACCTAATCTTCCCCCCACATTGCTCAGGTTGTTTCAAAAAAGCAACAACACACAAATCTAGCCATGTCTCTTCTCTGATGTTAAGGTCCCCACTAACCACAGGATAACATCCTGACTTCTTTCACTTCTTTGTGAGCTGGATCTTTTTTAAAAAATATATTTTATTGATTTTTTACAGACAGGAAGGGAGAGGGATAGAGAGTTAGAAACATCGATGATAGAGAAGCATCGATCAGCTGCCTCCTGCACACCTCCTACTGGGGATGTGCCCGCAACCAAGGTACATGCCCTTGACCGGAATTGAACCTGGGACCTTTCAGTCCACAGGCTGACGCTCTATCCACTGAGCCAAACTGGCCAGGGCTGTAAGCTGGATCTTGACTGTCCTCTGACTCCTGCCCTTTGGTGTGTCTACGTATTATTCTGACACGTAGACAAGGAGAAGCAACTCGCAGTGAGCCTGGGCCAGATTCTGTGCTGTGTCCTGAGTGAGATGGAGGAGGCGAGCACTCCAAATCCGTAATCAGAGCTTCTGGCCTTGCGCAGCTCTGGGAGAGGAGGCAGATGCAAACATGTCAATCCAACGAGATAAAGACAGAAGGAGACTTAGAGGAAGACTCTGAGGAGGAAGGAAATAAGTGCTTACACAGAACAAGCAAACCTGAACAGAGATGATAAAGTTGATGCAAAAACCCCTCACCCCTCCCTTGTAACTGGTTACCAAGTCCCACCAATCCTGCCTCCTAAATATCTCTACACCCCACTGTTCCTGGAAGACTGCAGCGTCCCCTGCTTGGCCTCCTTTCTCAGGGGCCGGCAGCTCAAACAGGCTGGCTGCTTTCAGGAATAAGTAAGTGGAGGCTTTCTGGATGGAAACCTGTTTCCTTCGGCGAGCAGGCTCAGGTTACAGCCACCCAGCTCTTCGTAAACTTCTACCCGCAGTTTTTGGATTGGCCCTTGATGGCTAATGCCACCAGTTACCCTACCTAAGGACATGGGTATTGTGCCACACACCTAGTGATCACAGTCTCAACTTTTAGGAAATGTGTTTTATCTCCCATTTTCTTATTGCCCAGTATGGTCTCCGCACCACGGTTTAGGAATTATGACGAAGTACAGATGACATTTGAGCTGAGAGTGCTCCAATGGTTCCTTTCTATCACATCGACAAGGAGAAGGAACTCATATTGAGCCAGGCCATCACTCCTGCTCACTGGGAACAGCAGCGTGTACTGTGGACGAGTGTGTATTTTACTGTCACTGTAGAAACGCTTCTGTGCAGGTGTTGAAATATAAAAAGGTGCGATCTCACATTTGTTTTCCAGAATGTCTGCCAGACGCTGTGGTGCTTGGTGAACGGCTTTTGTCGCTCTAAGCTGGACGCGGCTGCGGATGGGACCCGGTGTGGCGAGAGGAAGGTGACGTGTGGGCTGAGGCAGGCAGCTGGCGGGCGGTGGGCGCTGAGTTCTGGGGAGGAGGCCCTGCAGGCGGCTGTCTCTGGGTGAATGGAGATCACAGAGCTGGACTAGCCGGAGGAAAGGGTCCACCGCCCCTGAGCCTTTGAGCCTTCATGGGAACAAGTGGTGAAGGAGAGAGGGCTGAGCCCAATCCCACGCTTCCGATCGCAGAACATCTGTTCCGTCTCCCCCTGATGCACTTCCATGGAATGCGTGGTTAGTCACACCTTCACGTTAAAGATCTGAAAGGACAAGCCCGTGGTGGCTTCTTTCCAAAGATGGTGGACTTGGGCCACTTGTGGTCTTCTTTCTCATCATCCGATATGACTGCATTTCTTGAAGATCTGTCCACTGTGCTAAGCAAGAAAGCCAGACACCCAAGAACTCAGAGATGTTCATATTCTCTAGACTTCCCTGAAAGTGGGTAATGCGTGCTGCTCCACAAAGCCAATCGGGTTGGTTGTGGGTCTAGAACTTAGGTATTTGGTGGGAATCTTTATGCAGCTTGAGGATGGCCTGATCCATCACAGGTTTTAGAACCTGGTCAATACACAGCGATCAGAAATAGTAAGGACAGGGAGGGCAGCAGATAAAACATGCCCAAATCTTCCGGGTAGTGTGGCCGTTTCTAACAATCAAGTTGTATTTTCTTTTTCTTTTTATATGGTTCACCCTCCTAAACTGATAGTTGTTAAAGCATTTCCCTGAAGAGGGAGAGAGTGGATTTTTTTTCTTCTGAATCACTCGAAAGACCAGAACTAAAAACACTGGGTAGAGTTACAGGAAAAGAGACATTTTTGTTGATACTAGAAAGAACTTAAAATTCTTAACAAAGCAGTGGTTTTTGGCAACCAATGGACTTTTACCAGGAGGATAACGTTATCTGACATTAAGTACCCCGAGGGGCTGTAAAGAAGTGTTATCGCAGTACCAGTCTGTAAAATGTTTGTTGCTGTCTACAACAAGATAAGGAGCTTGCACCAGAAAGTAAATCGATGACGTTACTGCACAGCTATGTTACAGAGCATACTGAGCTGACGCGCTTTTCCTAGCGGGACATTCCCCGTGAAGGAGTGATGTGTTGATGTACATTCTGGCATGCGATCTGCCAACCACACTTTGAGTAACACTCCTGCTTTGGCTGCAACTAGGTACCATGAAGTCCCCTTGATTCCTGAAATTCTCTGCTCCTCAGGCCCAAGACGCTTGGAGGAAATTCTTCTATGAGCTCTTCTCTGTTCTCCATGTGACGTGGGCTGGAGGAAGCTGATGAGGAGAGTCGAGTCAGGGTTAGACGTCTAGGGTGCTCTGCTCAGCCTGCTGCGGGAGCCTTCCTGACATCTCCTCCTCTTCTCTTTCCAGTGGTGTATGGCCGGCAAGTGCATCACGGTGGGGAAGAAACCAGAGAGCATTCCCGGAGGCTGGGGCCGCTGGTCGCCCTGGTCCCACTGTTCCAGGACCTGCGGGGCCGGGGCCCAGAGCGCGGAGAGGCTCTGCAACAACCCCGAGTGAGTGCGGCCAAGCACCTCCCTCTCCCGTGAGCTGGGAGACCCGCTTGGCCACTGTGACATCGGTGACCCACGCCTGCTGAGGGAAATTAGTGGGGACGCTGAAGATTCCCAGAGGGTGAACAAATAGTGGTTCTGCCGTGTTTCATTTGGGCTTGGCCCTGGGTTCCTGCTGGAACTTGGATAAATAAGCGGATTCCATCGCTTGGAGAGATAAGCACATTTCTTTCTTTTAAAGGGAAAGCCTCCAGGAGGTTATGCAGTTAAGGCCTCCTGGATAAACGACACCATCAGCAGGAGATCAGTGAGACCCAAGTTTGCTGATAAGATTGCAGCCTTCCTTCAGTAATAATGAATGTACGGTTTTGCAAAGATGTTTCTCTTCCCTTAGGTAGCTAAGCAAATAACCAGGCACATTTCTGGGGATTATTATTTTAAAATTTTAGATAAGGATTTTGTAAACCTTAGAGATCCATATTAGCTTGTTAAGAATTCCAAAGAAGTTATTTCACAAGTGGCTTTCAAAGTTTTAATCAAATTGCTTACTTTTTTCATATTTTAAATTTGTATGATGATATTATATATAAATCAAATTTAAATTCCATTGATGTTCAAATATATCTTACATTATCAATTTCATTATTTTCTGGTATACCAGTTCCCAAGTATAATTTTTTAAATATACATATGATACCTCCTGTAAGTAGAAAATGTATTAAGCTTCTTTACCTATTTTCACATTAGTCTAAATTGAAGAGTAAGACTCACAGTTTGTAAAAGGCAAATGATAAGCATTATTATAGTTCCCTCAATATCTTAATTCCAAATCTTATATTTTATTTATTTGTTCGTTTGTTTGTTTAGTGAGTTCTTTATTGTTGACAGCATTACATATGTCCCCCATTCCCACCCCTTTGCCTCCCTCCACCCAGCCCGCACCCCAGGCCGTCCCCACCCTATTGTCTGTGTCCATGGGTTATGCATATATGCATAAATGTTCTTTGGTCAACCTCTTTCTGCCCCCACCCCCGAGATCTGTCAGTCTGTTCCATGTATCCATGTTTTTGGACCTGTTTTGTGCGTCAGTTTATTTTGTTCATTAGATTCCACATATAAGTAAGATCATGTGATATTTTATTTTTCTCACTGGCTTGTCTCGCTTAGTATGCTAACCTCCTGGTCCATCCATGCTATCTCAAAGGGTAAGAGATCCATCTTTGAATAGCTGTATAGTATTCCATTGTGTAAATGTATCACAGCTTTTTAATACATTCATCTATCTCCTTTTTATTAATAAGTATATTATTATATGTACATATAAGCATGTGTATATACATATCACATATATAATAAATTTCTCAGGGTTAATAAGTTAATATCTACAAAGAGTTTTATACAATACCTACTATAAAAGTTGTCAGTAAATTGTAGTTAATATAATCATTATTATGATATTTAATCATTTACCACACATATAAGTATATATTTGAGGAATTTGGACAAAATTGTTTTTAAATCTTACCCTTTGATAAAAATTGTTTTTGTTTAAACATAAGGTTTCTGTGAATTCATAAATGTAAAACCAAGAATTTCTTACACTTCCATTTTTACAGAGAATCTTTTTATTTTATAATTTATTTCAGTGTGATCAGAAAAGTGATTTCCATTGTAGAGATCAGGAAATATAGGTGATTTGCTCTGGGACCCATTGTCAATGCTGCATATCAGCTACCACCAATCTGTAGCCTTTTGGGGATAATGGTCAATGACCTGTGTTATCAAAAAGGGACATCCTTGTTGAAGAACTGAAGGATGACTCTCTAATAGAGCTTCAGGGAGAAAATGGTCCTAATTCCCATATCAGGCCACAGTTTGTCACAGAGTCTCCTCAAGTGAGTGACTATGTATGATCTCAGTAGCTGGTTTGCTTAAGTTCACTGAGAACAATACCTGTGGAACAAAGTCACAGATTCTGTGCTGGGATTTAGGTCACAGATTCATGCCAATGAGTGACCAAATGACCTTGAGACTGTATCCTTAATGTTAGTCACTGTCCAGTGAAAACCCAGTGTGGCTTGGCTCATAAAATGCCCTCAGTGATGTTTGTTGGATGGAGATGAATTGGAGATATTCCAAGTCATAGAGTGTCACTCTATCATAACGAGTAGAAAGCCAGCCTAAACTCAAATATCAAAGACAAATCTTTGTACCACCTACAGGGAGTCAATGACTATGAACTCCCTTAGTCAGAGACTTCTCTTTGGGAGAGCTAAGTGCAGGAAGCACATACAGTAGGATGATGAAGTGTCATGTAAGAGGAGAAAGAGATTACTTCTGGTAGGATTCTGGGGAAAATTCATTATGGAGATGACATTTATTTGGTCCTTAAAGTATGGGCAGTATATAGACATTTAGAGACTTAAAGCGAGGGGAAATCTATCCAGAAGCACAAAAAAGAAATACAAAATACGTTAGTATGACGAGCAGTGTGCAGATGAAGGGGAATATGGGAAGTAAAGTGAATTAAGTCAAGATCTTGAGAGCCTTGAAGGCCAAGCTCAAGAGGCTGGACTTGATTCGGTGGCCATTAAAGGATTTTAAACAAAAACTAAATTAATTTAGGTATTTGTAAAAATTAACCAGATAAGAGTGTGTACAATAGGTTGAATAAGGATAAAGAAAAAAGATGGATAGAGGGGAGACAGGAATGGAGATAAAGCTTGGACAAGTTTGGTGAATATGGAAATAAAGAGGAGGAAACAAATATAAAAATACAGCTAATGACCAGGTAACTGACTAAATGTGGGAAGGGATCAAGCTATTTCAGAATAGGCTTGGGATTGAATGTTCATGGACAGCAACACAAACAGAAATGTATGAACTTGGAAGAATTTATTTAAAAGTTGAGTGTGAAGGGTAGAGAGGGACATGGTTTGGGAAGGTGTGAGCATGGCCACATGCCAGTGGAGTTTAAGGGAAGATGCTGGCCTTTAAGGAAACTAACAGGACAGCCTTTGTGTCTCATCTGTAGGCCAAAGTTTGGAGGAAAGTACTGCACTGGAGAAAGGAGACGCTATCGCCTGTGCAACGTCCACCCCTGTCGCCCCGATGCACCCACATTTCGGCAGATGCAGTGCAGCGAGTTTGACACGGTGCCCTACAAGAATGCGTTCTACAACTGGTTTCCGGTTTTTAATCCAGGTAAGGAGCTGTGGCAGTATATTCCAGATCCAGGTCCACAGCCATTATCAGAAAGCATATGTCAGGGGTCTGTGCCACCCCGCCAAGTCCAACAAAAAGAGAAATGTACCCTTAGATGTTTTGTATTTTAGCAGGTAAAATCAGGGTCCAGTTAGGTTAATCAGTAAATATTAAAGGTTGAATACGTCCAAGCTCTGTGCTGAGCTCTGCAGGAGATAAAAGACAAGTTTGTCAAACTCGGTGGTTCACTTCAAAACAACTGAGGTGCAATGAAGTGATAAGTGGCGCATGGAATTCATTAAGCGCTTGTTGATGAGCGTGTGAAACAGACTGTAATTTTGGGCAGAAATTCAGAAAAGGTCATTGTGGGTTTGCAGTAATTTCAAAGAAGGCTTCCCAGACAGTCGGTGATGATCCTTAAGTGTGAGTAGCCTTCTACTGCAAGGAGAGGAGAGGCATCGAAATAGTCAGGCATTCCATGTGGGCAGAGAACAGGACAAGGAAAGATGTAGGAATGACTTCATCAGAAATGAATGAGCACCAGCTCTGGGCCATGAAGGAACATTTGTGTATACAAGACAGTCTAAGAAGGGTAAAGAGTGAAAGCAGGCATCTAGAGAATGCACATGAGGGGGTGGGGATGTGGCTGAGCTGGAGCATGAATGGCAGCCTTAGCAGCGCTGCACTGACTCAGGACCAGTCGCGCATTCTCTTCTGAAGGTGAAGAACATCACTAACCATTATCTGTAGACTAACATCAGAAAGTATCTGGGCTATTTGTCGTCATTCCCGTGAGGAATGAAACGTGAAATGTTTCCCTGAGCGAAGGAGATTAGAGACAGGAAGAAAAAAATAACTAACCAAATTTTCATGATTTAAAGTTTTTGAAATTCCAGTGTAGTAGCACACGAGAGGACTCATAGATGTGGGGCAATGAATGAAAAGCATGTGTTTGAACTGTTATAAAAATGCTATTGTCGATGTATTTGAACTGTTATAAAAATGCTATTGTCAATTTTGGAGCTATTGGTTGTCATGGGCAACGTCTGCTCCTTACTCCCCATAGTTTAGCATCATTCATGCTCTAGAAGAGCGAATCATTTTGTTATTGGTACAACTTAGCTTCCTGAGCCAGGCATTTGAATATCAGATAACTCATGTATATACTTATGTGGACTGCGAAAAAGCAAGCAAACAAAACCAATGAGGAAAGGTGCTGCCTTCCCTACACCCTGGGCATTCTGCAGTATGTTGAAACTTCTTGGGCCCATGGTCCTGTCGTTCTATGTGCAGCCTCCAGAACTAAAGTAGCACAGCTGCCCCAGGACTATGACAGGTGCTTAGTTTGGAGATTTCCCCTCCCCTGATTCCCTGTAGATGCAGAGTTGGGCTTGTGTGTTCTGAACTCGGATGGCTTGAGTAGTTGGACTTGGAATAAAAAGATTTGGCTCAACCGGGTGTTCATTTTTTATAAGCATTTATCAAATGCATACTTTTTTGTATAGCATAGAATAGGTACTAAAAAATGAGAATTATAAAAGTAGTCATGCCCTAGCTGGTTTGGCTCAGTTGATAGAGCATTGGCCTGCAGACTGAAGGGCCCTGGGTTCTATTCCAGTCAGGGGCACATGTCTGAGTTTGGGCTCGATCCCCTGTAGGAGGCATGCAGGAGGCAACTGATTGATGATTCCCTCTCATCATTGATGTTTCTCTCCCCCCGCCTTCCTCTCTGAGATCAATTTTAAAAAATGTTCTAAAAAATGTAGTCATAAATTTCACTCACGTTGGAGTGGTTGGTTTGCATCTGAAATTAGTATGAGGCTGAATAAACCATATGGTGGAATTAAGCTAAGCTCGCTGCCTACCTGGGCTCTCAGCCTCCATCCTCCATTCCACGGTTTTCTTACAGGTCCCTGTGCTATTATTCGAGCACTAGTGTCCCAGTGCACGGATTCGTGCACATTGAAAGGAAATTAATTAGAATAAATATTTTAATATTGTTATTTGCCCTTTCTCTATAATATAAGTGTCAACCAAATTCATGATCGACAATGACAGATTGAAACACACATGTGCAATTGGCACCAGCGAGAGCTTTATATATTAGTATATATAGATAGTGGCTTACCTGCTAATATAAGTAACTACTACCTTGACCAACACGCTGATTTCTTTCCCCCATCAAACTCTTATCTTAACGGAGTTGTTATTTGCTTAGTTGACAGACACCTCTAAGAGTGACAAGTAGGTCATTCATATCAACCACTGTGAATGGAGCACTTACTCTGTGCATCAAGTACTTTGTACCCTCCCGGCCTTCCCTGAGAAGGCACCAGAGAATAAAGTAAATGTACAGAGAGTTTTCTGCTCACTCAGTGGACAGTGTTAAGTGTCTTGGTAGATTTGCGAAGTAGCCAATGACTGAAGAAGAATTTAAGCATTTGGAATAAGCACAGAAACGTCATCAAACCTTGTAGTTTGCTAACTCTGTCTCATGGAATCTCAGGGCTTCCGAAATTGCTTGGTTCTCATTTCATTTTTCAAAAAAACATTAACTATTTTCAAAAAGTGCGATAAAGAACAGCACTTACACAAAAAAATATTATGTCAGGTTTTAACATATCAGAAATCATCAATACATTGACTTACACAGTCAAATTAATTTGGTTTTCTGTAGACCTTAGAAGGAACGTCTCCTATCAACCCAATTAACTGAGAAATACTCTGAAATTGCAGGTTGAGTTGTTCTAAACCAGGGGTGGGCAAACTTTTTGACTCGAGGGCCACAATGGGTTCTTAAACTGGACCGGAGGGCCGGAACAAAAGCATGGATGGAGTGTTTGTGTGAACTAATATAAATTCAAAGTAAACATCATTACATAAAAGGGTACGGTCTTTTTTTTTTTAGTTTTATTCATTTCAAACGGGCCGGATCCGGCCCGCAGGCCGTAGTTTGCCCACGGCTGTTCTAAACTGATATCATTTACAACTATTTGTCAAAATTCTTCAATAGTGTGGAACCAAAAACCCACAGAAAAAAGTATATGCTGCACCCCATAAAAATCTATAACGCCATCCAAAAGCTCTATGTTAGCATTTTTGTTCATTGTAATAGTCTCTATAAATCACACTAATTTATTTTTAAGCGTTATATCCTTGAACTTACAAAATCTTTGTGTAATAAAATCCTGATTTCCTCTGCCTTATTGGCAAAGTCTTGTTTGAATAAAAAAAAATTCTGCTTAAAAGTTTTGAAAACTATGAATCTAGATCAGCCTACTTTCTAATATAGGCATTTTCTTTACCAGCATTCCTGACCAAAAAAATTATGCAACCCCACTAGATCACAGCCATGCAGGCACCAATGAGAAGAGCTGCCTGCATCCGCTGCACCTCCGGAGGTCCTACTTATATCAGCACGTGACTATGTATTCTCTCACTCACCCACCTCCCATCTTCAGCAATAAAGATGCTTAGTCTCCGAGAGGGCAGCCACTTATTTAAGGTTACAGGATTTTGTATAATGGAGCTGGAATTGAAGCATAGGTCTGTTTGACTAAGAAGCTCTCACACACACTAACTTATGTACACACACACACACACACACACACACACACACACGCTAACTTATGTAGATTCTCAGGGACTTCATTAGCCTATGTTAATAGAATGTGTTTATATCCTGCATCTTCTACTGGGAAACAACCAGAATCTGATCTTGATGTTGTCACTTTCTTGGAATCTCCCTTTCTTTTTAGATCTTTTTAAATTTTCTTAGAACACCCAATAATTCTTCATGTAAGCTCATTATTTCTATTGTTGCTTCTAAATATTTAAGCCCAATTAATGTTTAATGCCCATGAAGTTTCCAGCAAATGTGGAGGGTCTGACGTGAGGTCAGATCACAGTCTGCTCCTTGTGGGCTAGGATCCTTCAGGAACATCTTTAAGGAATTGTTGCAGATCGGGTTCCCTAGGAAACAGACTGAGACGGAGACTAGTGTGCAGGAAGTTCAGCAGCTGTGGAAGGAAAGGGGAGGAGGTGGGCCTGGGCAGGGGGGAAGCTGGGCTGCAATGCAGTCTCCACAAAGGCCTCCCCAACTGCACGTGGAGCTCCGGAGCTGCCATGGTCTTCAGAGTTGCCACACTCGGGGTGGGGGAGCCATGTCTGTGTGCCCAGCATGACCAGTCGCTGGGTATGGTCTGCCCCAGGAAGAGGTGAGTGTCCTGGGCAGGGAAGCTCTTTCAAGCCTAGGTGACAATTGAGGGCCGATGCTGGCAGCTCTCCCAAGAGCTGGGAGGATAGTCCTAGCATCTGGGTCCACCAGGGTGGCAGGCATAGAGTTTATTGCAAGAATCCTTGGGGTTTAGATAGAAATCATGTGCAGAGAGCCTGGGAGATCTTCTAGCCAAGCCTAGCATTTCACAGATTAGGAATCTGGCTTCAAGTGGGGAAATGATGGAATAATAAGGATGTTTGCAGACACCCAAAGCCACTCACAACCCTCTTCACTCTCACTTTCCCCTACACTGGGAGAGGGAAAACTAAATGACCCACTAGCCCAGATTTCCTGTGGACCAGTTCTGACCAAAGAGATAGAGATGAAGGCTCGTCTTTTACTATTTTTTTCTAGTTAAACTATAATCCATTCATTCAGTGAAATAATATGTGATCATTCAAAGGATGAAATACAAATAAACAAAATCACTGGATTTCCAACTTTTAACAAGTACCATTTTTTATTAAATGTATTGGCGTGGCACTGGTTAATATGATCATACAGGTTTCAGGTGTGGGTTTCTATGTTACAAGATCTGTATATTGCACTGTGTCCCCATCACCATAGATTAAGACCCCTTCACTCCCACCCCCTTCCCTCTGGCAACAGCCACACCGCTGTTTGTGTTCATGAGTTTCAGTTTTGGATCCCACATATGAGTGAAATCATATTGTTCTTAGCTTTTTCCGACTTATTTCGCTTAGCATAATACCCTCAAGGTCCATCCATGTTGTTGCAAATGGCAGTATGTCATCCTTTCTTACAACTGAGTAGTATTCCGTTGTGTATATGGACCACATCTTCTGTATCCAGGCCTCTCTTGCAGGACACTTTGGTTGTTTCCATCGAAGGCTCATCTTTTAAAAGCTCCTGTGAATGTTTTTAACTGGTGCCCACCCAGCTGGCCCTTGGTCCCTTGCCCACCTGCCATTCACCCTTCCTCTCTTGCTACCAGGGTTACACAGTCACAATGCAACCAAGAAGTCCGCCCCACCCCAGAAGCTGAGCAGGAGGAAATAAGGAGGGTAGCTGAACACTCCTACCCTTGGATTTCTTGTTTTGTGGGGGAAATAAACTCCTGTTCCTTTAAGGCAAGGAAGCACTACTGGCAGCAAAACTCATTCCTAACTGAAGCTTACATTGAACTTCTATCGGTACTCACTCTGTGCCAGGCACTTCACGCAGCGGTTTCTATGCATTTCCCTGTTTTATCCCCACAAGAAAATCCCGTGTGGAAATTTAAGTTTTTGACCCAATTCTTATGGGTAAGCTCATTGATTTGGAGAATTTAAGTAAATTGGCCATATTCAGACTGTGCCAGAGAGCCAACCGTTAGACCAGGCCTGATCCTGAAGCCTAGATATGGGAGGGGGGAGCAAAAGTAGGTTTACAGTTGTGAGTACCCAAAACACAGTGTATTCTTGTATTATTATTTATTCATTATTGTATTATCTTCCATACAAACAATTTTTGCCCCACCCTGTATTAATCACTAAAGCAAACAACTTAAGGTCCAATACAAATTTATCATCACAGTTCTTAGTCACCTTAACCAAGAGACAGAACTTAAAAACATACAGTAAATGGTAGGCATTACTACAGGTAGCTTAGTCTAACACATCAATGACAGGTAGTCTAACACATCAATGACATAGGTTTCATTATTTCTTTTTAATTAGTTCTATTCTTGTCGAAGATATTAATTTTAATGCCTTCTTATGTTTAACTAATATATATATATACATATATATATTTATATTTGGGGACTACAGTAATATATACATATCAGAAAGTAAAAGAATGCCATTTTAATCTGCCCCAAATTACAGAATCTAACTAATTACTTGGTTGATTTTCGGTTGGGATTTTTGATTAGGAGTTTTCATTTGCTTTTGTTTTTCCCCTCCAGCTTAACTGAGCCTAGTCATTAAACTGAGCTTCTTTTTTAAGTTGAATGTAACTAGTTTTAACAACACAACATTTTAAATTCTGCCTTTCCCTTAAGGTTTAGTATTTCTTAAAGTCTGGCGAGGCCCACGGACGTGCACATGGCAGATCTCTTCTGTCCGTGCATGCACTTCATTGTGCCACCGACTTCCCTTACAAAGTCTAAGTTCAAATGTGAAATGACTGAGAGCCCCAGGACAGCGACCACAAAGCCTCCGGCCAAATGAGACGCCGGTGACTGCACAGGGCTCAGACCCATGAAGCCCTCCTGTCCATGGATTTTAGAAACTGATTTTTTTTTAATGGTGAAAGTGAAATTGCAATCTACTCATAAAACATGACATGCATCAAAGCTTTTCCTTGACCTGAGAAATATGTTTCTCCTCATTAAAAAGCTTTACCTCTCACTTCTAATGATCGCTTCTTAAGATCATCCTCCAAAAATGTGGAGCCGTCCTGTTTCAGCAAATTGAAAATGCAAGCTCTGATGCAATGAGTTCATTCAGCCCCCGTGCTTCCTGTGAGAGGATTAATCAGATGTGTGAGGGTGAGAGTGCACCGGTAAATTAGTTTCAGAGTTCTCACCTCGCTGCATTATAAACGGGTTTGAAAGCTGGAGGGAAAACAGTCACCTGGCCCGGACTAAAGGCTGTGTCAGACAGATGAGTACCTTTGAGTCAGGGCAGATACTCAACGCTGTGAAGGTTGTGGAATCCATGAGGTTGATGTCTGGGACAGAGACTCTCTGACACTCATGATGACCACTAAGACGCTCCATTGCCACCCCTGCCTCCTTCTGCAGAGACCTATGTCCTAGGGCAGTGATGGTGAACCTATGACACACGTGTCAAAGGTGACACGTGAACTCATTTTTTTGGTTGATTTTTCTTTGTTAAATGGCATTTAAGTATATAAAATAAATATGAAAAATATGTCTTTGTTTTACTATGGTTGCAAATATCAAAAAATTTCTGTATGTGACACAGCACCAGAGTTAAGTTAGGGTTTTTCAAAATGCTGACACGCCGAGCTCAAAAGGTTCGCCATCACTGTCCTAGGGCAACGTCATGATATGCCCAGAGCACCAGGAAAACAAAGGCCAGAGAAGAGGACAGAGAAACAAGACTTCGGGTTCAGCCTTATAAACCCTTTTTGGGTTTTTTTAATGTATTTTTATGGAGAAAAAGGGAGAGGGAGAGAGAGAGAGAGAGAAACATCAATGATGAGATGCCTCCCACACGCCCCCTACTGGGGATCAAGTCTGCAACTCGGGCATGTGCCCTGACTGGGAATCGAACTGTGATCTCCTGGTTCATGGGTCGATGCTCAACCACTGAGCCACACTGGGCCAGGCAAGCCTTGTACACTCTTACACAGCCCTGAACCTTCCCTTCACAGTGGCTGCTTTCACGTAGAGGATCCTTTCTGGCCTTCATCATTGTTGTGCAAGCTCTGGGAGCCATAGCAGTGGCTTCGTGTGCCGCTCTTGTTGTCAGGAAGGTTATTGTTGGTTAGCACTAAGACTCCATTGGCCACTGCCCAGTGTGCTTCACTCCGCCTGCCCCACCTTCCCACCCTGAAGGCTGCCATGGTTCTGTAGTGCAGAAGCGAGATGGGGAGAAGTCCTGACCTCAGGGCCCCGCTTCATGGAGATGTCATGATTATCGCAGGGGAAGGAGACCTTTCCGGTGTTCTGTTTTAAGGGTTGGCTTCAGCTTCAGCAATAAAAAGCAGATGTCTTGTTTCTGTGTGGTTGTAAATCTGTGTCTGAGATCTTGTTGGGCTTGAGGGGAATAAGGGAGACTTGCTAGGGGTGGGTTATGACAGTAGTGGGGGTGATAGTGGTGGGCTGGCCCTATCAGAGGGAACCCCCCACCCCTGGAGGTCCGCTGACCTTGCTGAGGACAGTGAGCAGGTGTTGTGCTTGCCTAAGGTCTTGCAAGAGTGGTAGACATGATGTAAGTTCTAGGTTAACCCTCATGCACGGTGCCTTCTTTCTACAAGCACAGTCTAATGTTGGATTGAAAGGTCTCATTATTTATAACAGAGAGCATGGTGTTTTAAAGCGATCTTCCCAATTCAATTTTCTGTGAAACTCTAACTGAAAAAAAGGAAAAAACCCTACTTTTCAGCATGTGCCATAGAAAGGTACAAGGTGGGAATCTCTGGATAACGCCCCTTGGGGTCATGTCTATATGTACAAAAGAGTCCTGGGGGAGGGTGCTGAGCTGAAAAGCTGACTTGTCTCTTTTTCACTTCAGCACGTCCTTGTGAGCTCTTCTGCCGACCCATAGACGGCCAGTTTTCCGAGAAAATGCTGGACGCTGTCATTGACGGTACCCCGTGCTTTGAAGGCGGCAACAGCAGAAATGTCTGTATTAATGGCATATGTAAGGTATTGGGTATGTTTCCTTAATCTACAACTTTATAAAATCATGCTTTTATCAATTCAGGATGTCAAACCCATTGTGGCATTTGCATATGGTCTGGGTTTTATTTTTGGTCTGGGAGGCAAGACTTCTCAGTGTATATCAGAGACACAGTTTGGAACTGAATCGTTTTCTCCTGCTGTCTTCATTTCTTGATTAGTTGGTGGGCTCTGGGATGTTATTTTAGGCATGGGGCAGGACACATTGAAGAAGAACCAAATTAAAGGAGGACTTGTTAGAAAAAGGCAATAGATTACTTCAGTGGCATTAAATTTTTCATTGGTTTCTTGCCAACAGAGTGGTTAAATTTTAGGAAAATCTGAAATTAATTATAGTTTGTATAGTGTTTTTCACAAAGCACTTTTACATTTAATTCTCTATTGATTGCCGACATGATCCTAGGAAGAGAGATGGCATAACAGGTAGCTATAAACAGGTCTTCTGATTTCTATTTTAACTTTCCCTCACTGGCTCCATTCATCACCTCCGCCTTTATGTAAATTACTTGGGTTGATTTGTTAATGCTTTTATGTGTACAACCATTGAAAAAGTCCTTCCAATTGCTCACAGTTTGTTTTGCAAGGAACTAATGAACTCGCTTTGTGCTCCAACACCCAGGCATAAACCTCAGTTTAAAAGAGAAGGTGTTTTGAATCAATGAAAGGAAAACTATGCTATAGAAATACCTAACTCACTGTTAGTAAAGCATAATGGTGTCACACTCCGGCTCCAGGACGGGAACTCATTACCATTATTTATTAGCTCTGTAACCCTGGGCATCTTTCTGAGGCTCAGTTTTCTTTTATAACATTGAGATGTTAATATATATCCTTCTAGCCCTACCCGGATTGGCTCTGTAGATAGAGCGTTGGCCTGCGGACTGAAGGGTCCCCCAGGTTTGATTCCGATAAAGGGCACATGCCCAGATTGTGAGCTTGATCCCCAGTAGGTAGCCGATCAATGATTCTCACCATTGATGTTTCTATCTCTCTCTCCCTCTGCTTTCCTCTCTGAAATCAATTAAAAATATATATATATTTCCTTCTAGTTGCGGTTGTCAAAAAGATTGAATAAGGTCATCTATGTTAAGCCTGTAACAGAGCCCTGGCACACAATAAGCTCTTAACACATTTTATTTGTTTTTTGCAAATAGTTATCGTATTTTTCCTACGGGACCAAATTGCCACTGTAAAAAGCTCCCGCCCACCAATGTTCAGCTCCCTGCGAAGGTGCGCTTACCACCCTGAAGTTGCTTTTTGATTTATTCCGGTTCTGACCGAAGCACCGGAGGCGATATGTTGATTCCCAGGAATGAGTGATGAACAGCCAGACTTAATCAGACTCTCGATTTGGAAAAGCTCAGGCAAAATTCCTTTCAGACTCATTAATTATCACTGTAGCCACAAAGAGCCAAAATTAATTACTATGTGTTAGGCTAGATGTGTTCCCCAGAGTGGGAAAAAGGTTATTTAGTGAATCCAGGCCAAAACAGCCCACCACTGTCCAAATCGTGGTTCTCAGGCCTGGCTGCCCATAATTCTAACAGGCAGAGCTTTTAAACCACTGATGTCTGGCTGGATCTCAACATTCAGAGTCTCTGGAATTTGGGGCCTGGCCATTGATATTTTTAAAACTCCCCATACACAGCTAGGGCTGAGAACTTATTTCACCAAGAAATGAATGGGATGCTAGAATGATCTTTTAGGCCTGAACACCTTTGCATGTATAGTGGCAGCAGCAGCGTGTGATAGAAAACATAGGTATTCTGAATAAAACATAAGGTCTTGGGTGCCTCTCTTAGGACCAGTGAAATCAGTTTAATGGAATATGCCACGTTTTCTCTGCTTGGTTTTCTTTTCCTGGAAACCAGTTAAGGTCTTTTAGAAGGTATAATTACCCACGTTCTGTCTGTACCACACTGAGCTAAGTTTTTAAGCTGAAAAATTACTCAAATCAAATTTCCTTTAATAACCTCTATGCGATTTATCTTCCGAAGATCCAGGTTGTAGACATTTTAGCTTTGTTAGTCTTATTCATTTACTACAGGTTATTTTTTTTTAGAAGGAATTGAACACCATCAGAAAACAAAATGTATACAGTGTTTGTCAAATCCATTTTCTTTGTGCATGTGAAAATATTTATTACATATGCTTTTGCCCATATATTCCACTCTATGTTGAAATTACATTTGCCAACATTTTGGCATGTTAGATATGCAGATGTGGCATGTTAGATATGAATTTGTCCTAGGACAGCGGTTCTCAACCTGTGGGTCGCGACCCCTTTGGCGGTTGAAGGACCCTTTCACAGGGGTCGCCTAAGACCATCCTGCATATCAGATATTTACATTACGATTCATAACAGTAGCAACATTTCAGTTATGAAGTAGCAACAAAAATAATTTTATGGTTGGGTCACAACATGAGGAACTGTATTTAAAGGGCCAGAAGGTTGAGAACCACTGTCCTAGGAGATAGCTATCTGTGCCCCCCCCCTTTTTTTAATTGTACTGAACTCCTAAGCTTATTTATCAAATAGATAAATGTAAACTTTGACATTTTTTATCACAACTCTCCCAGCTCTGCAGTCTTACCGGCTGTCTTATAGCAGCCTGCTCACCTGCCTGCCCTCTCGCCCTTCTCCTGGCACCTAGTTCTTTGACTCTCAGTTCCTTTACTCCTGCCTTTCCTCCCAGTCAGCATGGCTTTGGCTTAGGTCCCTCCCAAGGAGCCCAGATGTCCTGACCTATCACATCAGCTGTCCCCTAGACGGCTCCTCTGAGCCTTTCACCAGCCTCTCATTCCAGGATCCTGGTTCTGATCAACCCAACCACAGCCCTTTTTTGATCTTACTATCAGCCTACTGTGTACTTCTTAAAATAAAAAAGTCCAATTTGTGAACTTGTGCCCTTTCAGAGTCAATATCTTCAACCCCTGCTGAGTCCTTACCCTCATCTGACCACCTTCGTACTGTCCTAAGTCAGCTCCCTCTCTCATTCCTCTTGGAAACTCTCTGGAACCTTCTTTGTTCTCTCACAAGGTCATTTTTTGGCTACTTTTGTGACATACTGAACACCAAAAATCAATTTCTCGTGGGCAGATCTCTCTTCAGAATTTCACATCCTATCTCTTGGCCATCAAAGTTATGATGAGAAAAGTATTATTGCTACCGTCCCACTTTTTAAATGGCAAGACCTGTTCTTTTCAGTTAAGCACGAATCTTTCCTATCTTCACACTCTAAGTTTCATTGGCTGGGAATCTATCTCATAGAACCAGCCATTCTCCCAGTCTCCACCTTTGCCAAGGGACTGTGGAAGGAAATTATGACATTCTAGGCGGATTAGGTCATGGTGCCAGTTAGTATTTAGTTCCCAGTTACTTGAGAATTTATAAGTAAAACAATGTTACAAGCTAAAAGTGAGAATTAGTAAGAATACCTCTTGGTTATTCACTCATGTAGCGCTCCAAGCCTGGTGAAAGACTGGAAGCTGATTTCTCTAATACTCAAGTTACTCCAGTCCAAATGACAGAGTCAAGAATTGATGGTGCCCTAACCGGTTTGGCTTAGTGGATAGAGCGTCGGCCTGCGGACTGAAGGGTCCCAGGTTCGATTCCAGTCAAGGGCATGTACCTTGGTTGTGGGCTCATCCCCAGTAGGGGGTGTGCAGAAGGCAGCTGATTGATGTTTTTCTCTCATCGATGTTTCTAACTCTCTATTCCTCTCCCTTCCTCTCTGTAAAAAATCAATAAAATATATTTTTTTAAAAAAGAATTGATGATGCTCTTCTGCACAGGAAAGCAAATAGTCATCAGAATACAAAGGCAACCTGTAGAATGGGGGAAATATTTGCAAATCATTTATATATGACTAGAGGCTCAGTGCACGAAATTTTGTGCACTGGCGTGGGGGGGGAAGGGTCCCTCAGACCGGCCTGCACCCTTTCACAGTCTGGGAGCCCTCGGGGGATATCCGACTGTGGCTTAGGCCCCACTCCCCATAGGGCAGTGGTTCTCAACCTTCCTAATGCCGCAACCCTTTAATACAGTTCCTCATGTTGTGGTGACCCCCAACCATAAAATTATTTTCGTTGCTACTTCATAACTGTAATTTTGCTACTGTTATGAATCATAATGTAAATATCTGATATGCAGGATGTATTTTCATTATTACAAATTGAACATAATTAAAGCATAGTGATTAATCACAAAAACAATATGTAATTATATATGTGTTTTCCGATGGTCTTAGGCGACCCCTGTGAAAGGGTCGTTCGACCCCCAAAGGGGTCACGACCCACAGGTTGAGAACTGCTGCCATAGGGTTAGCCTGAGGAATGGTGCTATTTCTGTCCTTGGGTGTTAATTCTCTGTTTATCTGGTAAAGGGAAAGTGTATTTCATGACCCAACCTGTTCTTCCTTCCAATTGATTTGAGAAATAAGAAAATTACCTTTGAGAGAGAAGAAAACTACTGAGCACAATTCTTTCCAAACAGAAAAGAAACAACTGGCTAATCGAATATAGTCTAGTTTCCCTCTCTTTACCATAGACATGTGGTCAGGAGCCTAGGCCATGGAAGATGGCAGGCAACAGGGAGGATCAGCTCCATGGCTCATGCCTTGCAGTCCACATGTCATGATTCTTTGTACCTGATGCTGCCGAGCACTGATGCTCTCCTTTGCCAGTGCGGGAGTTTCAGGGTGGGACAGACTTGACCATATTGATAGACTGAGAAGGCGTCATGGAGAGGGAAAGATGAAGATGCAGGAGGACCGATGGACAGAAAGAGCACTGAGAAGGGATTTGGTCCAGTGCACAGGGCAAGACTGTTCTCGGATCAGAGGAGAAATGGCCAGTTCTTCCTCTGCGGCTGGAGGGAAGGAGGTCCGGATGGCTGGGGTCACAGGAGGCTCTGCAGGGTCTGATGGGAGGTCTGCATGTCAGGGATTTCATCCCTCGGACTGCAGTGCTCTCAGCATTAAGCCAGCCTTTCTCTGGCAGCAGCTGGTTCACTGCTGTCCTCAGACAGGTGTCAGGGAGGAATGGAAAGGGATTCAACAACCAAGTCACAGGTGGAATGATTGCCCCACCCCTGGGAAGTCCCCAGAGAGAGGAGTGGCCTGAGGTTTGCACATCTGAAAGGGAGGAGGGACCTGCTGCTTCACCAGCTTCAGTCCCAAAACATTTCATAGTTAAGCCTTAGGAACTGTGTTCAGTTCTGCCTCGGACTCGGGGGAGACCCACCCAGGCTGTCCCTGTATCTCCTCTAAGCAAGTTTTTCCTTTACCTTCAGTGGATGCTTTGGTTGTTTCTCTGCTGCACCAGGAAAAGGAGACATGTGTGCCCTAGTGTATCTGCCCCCAACCCCAGTCTCACCAAGAGCAAGGGGGGAATGGGTAAGGAAAGGGGAAGTCCAAGGTCCCAGGCAGGTGTGACACCTCCTGCTCCTGTCATTCACCGTCCACCCCTTTTCCTGCAGATGGTCGGCTGTGACTATGAGATCGATTCCAACGCCACAGAGGATCGCTGCGGAGTGTGCCTGGGGGACGGCTCTGCCTGCCAGACCGTGAGGAAGATGTATAAACAGAAAGAAGGATCTGGTAACAAACAAACAAATAAATAACTGAAGTGGCAGGGGACTGAGAATGGAGGGCAAGATTGATGGCTGGGTTTTGTTTTTGTTTTTTAGCAGATTGTGACTTTCAAATAATGGCAAAGGTGGATGAATATGTTCATTTTTCTTAATTAGAGGCCTAATGCATGAAATGCGTACCAGGGGCTCTGAGGGCCAAGGCAGCAGCCCCGGCTTCAACCAGAAGGTTATCTGGGATGTCGTCCAAAAAGTCGTTTGGTCTAATTAGCATATTATGCTTTTATTATTATAGATACTTTGGAGATAGCCTTACCAACCCTAAGCCTTCCCTTGAAATAGAATGTCTCAATGACCCTTTACTCCTGCAACTCTTTAATTATTCTCATTTCTGTAAAGAAGGCCCATGAAGATGAGACATACAAGGGGATTTGTTTTTTATCTCTGTTCTGCCAACCACATTTCCCCATTAAAACACTAGATTAGGGGTGAGTAAGCCCTTGGTATAGGTGCATATACTCCCAGCCTTGCTGTGTTGTGTGATGCATAGAGTTCTTCTCTTGGGAACTCAGGTTCCTCATCCTATATAATAAAAGGCTAATGTGGAAATCGACTGAATGACAGAACAACCAGTCGCTATGACGTGCACTGACCACCAGGGGGCAGATGCTCAATGCAGGAGCTGCCCCCTGGTGGTCAGTGCACTCCCACAGGGGGAGCACCGCTCAGCCAGAAACCAGGCTCCCAGCTGGCAAGTGCAGTGGGGGTGGCGGGAGCCTCTCCTGCCTCCGTGGCAGCACTAAGGACATCCCCTAAGGGGTCCCGGACTGCGAGAGGGCACAGGCCAGGCTGAGGGCCCCCCACCCCCCTCCAGTGCACGAATGTTGTACACCAGGCCTCTAGTTTTTTACATAAAGCAGTTGGTAGCCATTCCCTCCCACCTAACTATCCATTAACCGGGATTGCTTCAATAAAGGGGATTATGTTGAAATGCTCCAAAAAAAGGAAAAGACATTAAATTGAAAAGGCAATAGTTAGTAGTTCATATAGTACAATCCTACTTGTTTAAAGGTTATGTCTGTGCATAAAAACTTTATAAGAGAGCCCAATAAACTATTAACTGTAATTCCTTTGCTATAGAGGATGGGGAGGCAGGGTGGAGGGAAATGGAAATGTTACTTTTCATTTGACAGCCCTCTCTGTGGTGGGCTTTTCTGTCATGTGCGAAGGAGTCTGGCGGATAGCTTATCATGGTTCTTTCTAACTCCAAGTCACTATCATTTAATCCTTTGCTTCCTCCTGAGTAATCTTTTGCAAATACATATTACAAATATTTGTTACTTTTGCTCATGGCTACATCTGCTTCAGTTTACATCTCCTGTCTACAAACGTCAGAAGCAGCACTTGCATCGCTGAAAGCTTTGGTTTTAGATTTTGAAGCATAGCCCTTTCATTTGGCAGAACCTACCCATGATACATACTTAAAATTTTGGATTTTTGCTCTTAAGTGGAAAGCAAAAAGCACGTTTTTGTTGCTTTTCCATATAGTTGTCTCGTGTGTGTGTGTTTGTGTGTGTGTTTGACAAGGAATGAGGTGGTAGCCAGTTGGTTTTCTTGGCTGGGAAGCTGTGCCATGTCCTATCATAAAATAGCTGCAGGTAGCTGTACGTCAAAGGCATTTTTAAAAATGACATGAGCCTCAATTGCATGTGGTAAATATTTTCACCGAGTTATTTATAAATTGGTAGTTTTCACTTGCCGTCTCAGCTAAGTGTGTGAGGGCCAAATGGAGTTACTACCAGACCCACATTTTGGTTCCTCTGGATTGGAGCTTCCAGTTGGAAAACGGAGACTGAGGTTGTGGCCTGTACCCAGCTCCTGAGCGAGTCGCTCCTCTGGGCCAGCCTGTGCTTGAGCTGCCAGGACCCCAGGCCACTCTATGTCCGAGTGACGGGGAGCAGTCGGGCACTTTCAGGGACAGAGATGCGGGTTTGCTTGTCAGGCTGAAAACCTAGTGTATGTTCAGTGGAAAATGGGCCAGGATGACCAGGCTCTTACAACCACATTTTTCATAGAGAGGTTGAAGGACTAACAAGTGTTTAGCTTAGAAAAGGGTCAAGTAATGGAATTCCAGAGCTGGGCTGGACATCAGCATCATCTCAGTCAAGCCCCGCCATTGTAAGGAGTTAAATAAATCGATGAATGTCATAGAGCTTGTTGGTGCGAACACAGGAACTAGAACTCAAGTGTTCTGACCGCCCTGCCTCGGTGCTCCCTTCACAGTGCCCTCCCCGAGGTCCACGTCCCCTCCGCTCTATCGCGTGCATGAGGCGATGGTTCTTAGAAGCATAGGTAGGATGAATGTTTAGAGGAAACGTTTCTCTGTTAGCTCCTTTCCTCCCCTCGTGCCGCCTACCATGATAACCAGGAAGCAGGAAGACTGGCTAAATGGATCACCGTCGTTAAATGGGTGTCCTCAGGGCTTTTTTAGAAAGCTGGATTAGAACACATGAGAGTAAAATATGAGTTCATATTTCAGCAAACCTAAGAAAAAACTCTCTCTGATGAATAGACTTATCTAGCAATCTAAAAAGCTGTGCTCAGAGCTGAGTTTCTCATCATAGGCTGTATTCAAGCGCACCAGGGTGGCAATCAACCCAAGATTCCCCCCAGGAGTCTCCTAAGGAATTTACACTGTGATTAAATTACCTCTAAGAATCCATCTTTAACTTGCAGGCAATGAGGGTGAGCCGAAGGACGGATCCAATGCAATGGTAGGATGATTAATCTGGCAGCAGCAACAAATCGGGGAGCAGAGATGCTATTGAGGAGCTAGCTAGGAGATGTAAATTTCTGAGCGATCAACATAAAATCACAGAAAAACAAATGCTGGATCAAGCTCAAAAGCTTCAGAGTACAATCTGCGTTTATTTCACTTCTCCTCGCAAAATTGCTTACATAGTGAGTCACAAAGCTCCTGAGAATTCTGCTCTCGGCCCGGCTCTTTAAAGTTCTCCACACTTAGTACCTCTGCCAATCCCAGTGACCACCCAGGAGGAGGGCAAGGCGCTACATGATGAGAATGAACAAAGTGTCAGGAGCCGACTGTGTTCCGCTGAGCTGGCGTGCCTCCTTCATTCATTGTGTCCTCTCTTCTTAGGTTATGTTGACATTGGACTGATCCCTAAAGGAGCAAGGGACATTCGGGTAATGGAGGTGGAGGGAGCTGGGAACTTCCTGGCCATCAGGAGCGAAGACCCTGAGAAGTATTACCTCAATGGAGGCTTTATTATCCAGTGGAACGGGAACTACAAGCTGGCAGGCACCGTCTTTCAATACGACAGGAAAGGAGACCTGGAGAAGCTGATGGCCGCAGGCCCCACCAACGAGTCCGTGTGGCTCCAGGTAACGCAGAAAGGAAACTGCTGACGTGCACATCCGTTAAATTTTTCCCAAGGTATTTGCTAGGAGACACAACTGAAGAATGCTTAAAACTTCTTTTAGCAAGGGGCAGGGAGGGAAGCAAGATATTAATTTGTACCGTTAATTCTTTATTGACTACAAATGGCTGAAACCCCCATAATGAAGTGCCAGAGCCCTTAAAACCATCCACTGGTGGAACTGGAGAGCATTCTGCTGAGCAAAATAAGCCAATCGGAGAAAGATAAATATCACATGATCTCACTCATATGTGGGATATAATGATCAACATAATTTGATGAACAAGAATAGATCCAGAGACAAATGGCAGGGGAGGGGGCGGTTAGAGAGCAACCAAAAGACTTGTAAGCATGCATATCAGCATAACCAATGGACACAGACACTGGGGCAGTGGGGGCTTGCTTGGGGTGGGAATGGCTGGGGGGGGGTGTCAATTGGGAGAAAAAGAGACATATGTAAAACTTTAGACAATTAAAAAGAAAGAAATGGAAAAAAAATTCCATCCACTGGGAGGACTGATTTCAGTGTCCAGTGTGGTTGACACAGGCTGGTTATTTGCGGTGATCGTTGGCTGGGTATCGATATAGACATAGGTAGATAAGACGTACAGGTGGGAGTAGAGGCATGTTCTCTAATGGCATTTGCTCCAGTGCCTGCTTCCATAACTACTCTAAGACGATGGACATTGTGTAGGATTTCTCTGTGACTGTGGTTTCCAGTGTAAAGTCATGGCCGTTGGGCCTGACCTCTCTCTTCTTGCCTTTTAGCTTCTATTCCTGGTGACTAACCCTGGCATCAAGTATGAGTACACGATCCGGAAAGATAGCCTTGACAATGACGTGGAGAAGCTGCCGTACTTCTGGCAGTATGGCCGCTGGACAGAGTGCAGCGTGACGTGTGGCACAGGTGAGAAGCGGCGCTCTCGCTAGGAGCCCCCGTCAGCTCCAGAATGGGCCTTGGAGGCATCTAGGCCAGGGGTTTGCCATCTGAGCCACGGGTCCGGAGGGTTCCCCAAAGATGGCCCAGAGGACCCTGTGAGGAGTAAATGTACACGCATGGTCTAAATGGAGAGAGAGTTTTTCTCCCATCAGCTTATAGCCTGGTCTTTGTGAAAGGTTTTGTTTAAAGAAAGGGTCCCCTGTGTTTTTAAAAAGCAAAACAGAAAGACTTAAAGCAACCACTGCTCTGGTTGAGGACATAAGGACCACAAAAGTCAAGCAGCCCACCCAAAGACATGCTACACATCATGGCCAAATCCCCCCAAAACCTAATTTCTAGCCCAAATTTGTGAAGTTTTTAGTTCAACTGGGAGAGTAGTTTTCTCGGACAAAGACAAAATCCAGCGTTGGAGAGATTCCTTGCTGTAAAGTGTGAGGTTGGGGTAGGTTTTGCTACAGTAACAAAAAAAAAATCAGGAATTCAGCACAATGGTTTGTTTTTCACCCTTTCCAAGTCTGAGGCAGGTTGGGCGGCCTTACTCAATCTCCAAGCTAAGACATCTGCAATGCATGGTTTCCCAGCGGGCCCCACAGGGGAAGAGAGAAATGGAAGAGGCAGACTGGCTCCTAGTAAGGGGCTTGGCCTGGAATGGACACACATCACTCTGCTCACGTTTCATTGTGGGACTTAGTCCTCTGGGCACGATCTCACTGCACAGAGAGGCTGGGAACTCAGAGGAGCGAGTGGACATTTGTAGAGAACGGCTCTCCCACTGCAGGGCCCCGTGAACTTGTCCAGGGCCCACAAGGGCAGGACTCAGGGCCTTGTGCTCACTTGGGGGGCTTTGATAGTGGTGCCATATGAGAAAGACTGTGCCTCTCTCTCTCTCTCCTTTTGGATCATGTCTCAGTCTGTTCTGGAACTTCCTGCCTCAATAAAACAGGAGGCTATCCACCCCCCTCCCCACTCCCTTCTGTTTCAACATGAACGAGCCCTTTGCATCGCACAGGCACATTTCAGAGCCTGGGAAACACAAGGGAAATGGGCAATTTGTGCAGTGATCATAAAGGTACACCCCAGCTAGCTAAGACATGAGGCCTCCTTACTAAGCGTGAGTCTCAGGCAGCATGTTTTGATACCTCCTGGTCCTTCAGCATTGCCTCTGCTTACTCAGGCAATGATTAACCCTTAACAGCAACTATCGGGCCATTTCAGCCACACGGCCTCCGAGGGTCAGTGAGCTCTGTTATGTGGCAGAGAGGAAAGAGCCTGCCTCCTTTCGTATCCCTCACACACAGAGAATGAAATGCTCATACTATTCCCAGAGAACACACATGGCTCACTGTAAAAATGGAAGCCCACCGAAAACACTGTACTCAGCGATATATTTTCTTGCCTTTAAGAGAGAATTTTCTGCATTATAAAAGTAAGTGAAATACATTATTGAAAAATTAAAAATAAAGTCACCATCCTTCCACATGCACTTTGGTGCTTTGCGTTAGTGCCTTTCAGTATTTATTTTTCTAATCATGGATGTATATAGTGGTGTGCAGATGGATGTATTTGTGTGCCTACACACACATGTTTTCACTGAACACTATAACATGGGTGCCTTTCCATGTGCTATTCAATCTTCAGAGCTCTCACTTTTAGGGATGCATTATATTTCACTGGCCACGCTGTGAGACCTCATTTCCGGGCAGGACTTGGTAAGGTCGTTCAGCATTGCGGTCCCTTAGTGACATTGAGGAGATGTCAGAAATTGTCATGGAGCCAGCAGGCACCGCGGCTGAGCTCCTGGGTAAAAGCGGAATCCTTGTTCTGCCACCTTCCTAGGCCTGAAGGTCATCAATAGTTAAGGCTTTAAAACTTTGAGACGAGGCTGGTCTCGTTTCCTTCCCTTCTCGTGTGAGCACTTAGGTCCTCAGACGTCACTGGAGTTGAGCACGGGGCCACCACTAATGGCTTCTGCCCAAGAGCCTGGCAGACCCTTCCCTGAACCCTGCTCACCCTTCTGTGGGGATATTTACCTACATTGCAGCATCGTGTCTTCTTGGCTTTCTCTTTTTATTTCTTTACATTTTATTATTTAATATTTCTTATATATTTACGTTGTACGTATTATTATTGTACCTTTGAAGCAAAAGGCTATTTAAGCATAAATTCACTAAGATGCTATTTCCTTAGTTTGACGATTTAACAATTTTTATTATCTTTGTTCTAGATCATAAATCCATGTTAAAAACTGGCAACAAAATATTATAAACTTAGCGAAAAATCACAAAGCCAGCCTATTTTCCATAGCCCACTTTTCAAAGGTCATGGGGACCGTCTGTGGAGATCAGCAACGGTCCTCTCTCCATGCTCTTGTCCATTCTTCTGTCCTCTCAGCCTCACTTGCTTTCTCTCCTGCCTTACCCTCAGGGCTGACTTTGGGGTGACCCTGGGGGAATTTAGGACTAGCTGTCCTTCAGGAAAAGTTGGAAGGGGATAGAATAACCACCCATGACGAAAGACTTGCTGAGAAAATTCACCTGAGTTGCCCTTCAAAAGATCAGCCGTGAAAGTCCAACCACTGGGTTATCCGTGAAGAAACAGCTGCAGAAATGGCTTGACCCAGATGCTGGTCTCAATAGGAAGCTTCAGGACTCTTCATTAAACAAGAAAATATTTTGGCAAAAATGCAAGACTGCTTTTGTAAAGATGTAAAAGCCACCCTTTTGCCCCATCGCGTCTCTAATGCTGCAGAACTCCGTCAGCTGTAACACATTCTATCCAACATTTCCTGTTTCCTATAAAACTCGTGGTGATGGCACCATTGTTAGAAAATGGGTCATCACTTCTGATCGTGAGCTTTTCCAGTGCGTGCTCTGTGGACTCCTCGGTTCTGCGTTTTCGGGTCTACAGCACAATGGCGGCTGCACAAAGGGGAGCACGCGTCCCTGCTCTGCCGGGAGCTTCCGGTGTTCCCTCCCCCGCTTGGCTGGATTCTCCCTGGAGGTGACCGTTGTCCCTCTGTTTAAGGAGCATCGTGTTCTGTAGGAAAAAGAAAGTATTAAAAATGCCAAAGACCATGCAACACTCCTTGAGTTGGTTCGAACTGTCCTAAGCTGCCTAGGAAACTCGATCGTGTTCATTGGAAGTAGACACGTGTGGGACAGATGGTTAGGTTTCCGGAAACACCCTTACAGGGGGTATCTGACAGCATTCCTACTAAAGCTCAGCTATCCATGTAGTTTGAGATATGACCAAAACTGTTGATACAACAGGAGAACCATACATGGGGACACATTCCACCCTGTCCCTGGTGTGTGACCATATGTTGATGTGTGACCACATAGTGATGTGTAACAGACAGAATTCGCTTCCTTGCAAAACCAGAGTCAGATATGTTTTTTACTGCCTCAACAGATCTTGGTGCTAATCCATCTGACTTTGTCCACTGTCATTGTCAGGGAAAATCAACCAAGTCCAAATATTGATCTCTAACAATAGCTAGAGGGTTTATATGAAAGGTAGGACTGCATGAAGATAATAGGAGGATTTGTTGAGATGGGCTTAAGCATATGCTATGGGATGAGGGGTTTATCACATACATAAATATATAAAATAAACTTCAAGTGATACGCAGTGGAGGTCGGTCTGATAACTTTTCCGTTGTACTTCATGAATGAACTAATGACAACCCTTAACTGGAGTGGCTAAGTTACTTTTTTCAGTGACTGCCCTGGAGTTTACAATGTACATTTACAGCTAATCCAAATCCACTTTCAAATAACACTATCCCACTTCATGGGTAGCATGAGTCCCTTAGAATAACAAAATCATCCTAACTCCTACTCCCACCCCTTGTGTCATTGCTGTCACTCATGTCTCTATGTATAAGAATGCGTAAGCATATATACACATAAGATATACACAAACATACATAACCAACTACATTGTTGGCATCATTCTTTTGAACAAACTGTTAGATCAATTCGGACCATTCAGTCCAACAGAGAAACTCTGATGCATCCTTATTAATTTTCAGTTACGCACTGGACAGTATGTGCCGGGCTAGTCCGTCTGTCCCCTCACTGCTGGCCCAGCGGATTGACCCAGGCAATGTCATTATCGTCCGGAAGGGGGTTTATTTCAGGTTTTGTGCCCCTTTTTCTCCCCCTGGAGTGAGGAGCGCTGAGCACACTGGTCCTTGTCCTTCATGCGCAGAAGCAAGCCTGTGGGAATGTTTCCAAACTCTGTGCGAGTCACCTGCTCGCTTCCTTTGATTTTCTGACATCAAGAGTTTGCCAAACTACCCAAAGTTTTAATAAAACTTCTAAGTATCTGAGCTTCTGTTTTCAACGCTACCGCGGCAGGTACATGTCAGCTCCTCCAGCATCAGCCCTTCCATCCCTCTCCTCTCATGGTCAAGGTGCTCTGCAGGAGTTTGTCTTTCCAAACAATGACTCGCTCATTGTGCCAGCAAAGTTCTCTTTACAATGTCGCTTCCAGCTGATGAGAGTGGTTTATTTATATGACAAAATAAGAATAACACATTGTCTATCAGTTGAGAAAGCCTACATGGTTGAAAGGTCACGTCTCTTTTCACAAAGGATAAAAATACTGTTTTATTTAACAGTATAATGCTGTTGAGTCATTTTAAAGGATAGTTTTGTTGTTGTTAATCCTCACCTGAGGATATTTTTTCATTGATTTTTTTTTAGAGAGATAGTGGGAGGGAGGGAAGGAAGCAAGGAGGGAAGGAGGGGGGAAGAGAGAGAGAGAGAGAGAGAGAGAGAGAAACATCAAAACATCAATGTGAGAAAGACACATCGATTGGTTGCCTCTCACATGCACCCCTACCACTCGGGGGTTGAACCTGCAGCCCAGGTGCATGCCCTTGACCGGGAATCAAACCCGAGACCATCCAGTACTCAGGCCAATGCTTTAACCACTGAGCAACACTGGCCAGGGCTTAAAGGGTTTTCTTATTAGTTGCAACTCCCTCGGACGTTTTTAAAGGGTGAGATGCCAGCCTGGGCCACTGGGCAGGGCCGCACACCTGTAAGGCAGGGTGCGGTGATGGCGGTCAGAGGCACCTGTGAGGCGGGTGCGGTGATGGCTGTAGGAGGCCTGGCTGCATTCAGGTCCTGTCGGCTGTGTGGCTGAGGGAGCCCCTCTGCGTCCTTCCCAGGAGAGTGAGGCGGTGACCGTCTCCCTGGGCCACTCGGGCCTTTCCAGTCTGTGCTTCGTGCACCATGAGCGCCCCAGGCTGGTGCCTTCAGGTGCCTGCCTGATGCCAGCTGGTAGCTCCGTCCCCTGGGGTCTCAGTCCCTCACCCCAAGTTTCGCCTTCAGCACTGAAGTGTTCTCTCTCTCACAGGGACAATGACGCTCTTCCTCACCACCCCTCCCCCTCAGTCAGGACATTCTGGCCGCTTCTCCAAGTTCCTTTGCTAATGATGACCTAGTTGGCAAGGCCAGGGGTCCTTCTCCTTGCCCAGCCTGTGGGCCTTCCCTGTGCCTCAGTTTCTTCATCTGTCAGATAGTGGTCATGATAGGGTTGACCTCATTGGGTTGTTGTGAGGCTGCAGTTTTATGTTAAAATCGATCATGGGTGACACATGTTATACATGTTTGTATTTGTCTGGGACACACACCTGGTTTAGATCAACACCTGGTCAAGGCCAGCACTGAGTCAGCTGTGACTTACATCCAAGGCCGAGTGCAGCCTGCAGAGGGGCTTGCTGTGCCTGCCGTGCCCCGTCTGCCGCTCTTACCTTCCTGACCTGCTCGCCAAAGCCCCTACTGTCAGAGCTTCTCCTGGAAAAGCTGAACCCCTCAGACTTCACAACACAATTTTGCATTTTACTCCTGTCTTTCAGTTGATGAACCCCAACTAATATGAAGGTCCCTGCCTCCTCTATTTCTTCACTAAACAAATATCATAGCAATTGTGTTGGAATACCTGGCAGTGATGTCTGCTTTCCCTATTTAAATCTCACTCCGGTTTTTATTTGGCGCAGGTGTGTTAGTCTTATCTCCACAGATAGATTCTAATCTGTGTGTTAGACTCTATATGAGTCTACCTATATCTCTGTGGTCCTTCCATGCATTGCCAGCTGCGCATGAGTGTGGACAATAAGAGGACCCATTCCTTGCCCCACTTGAAGAATTAAATGCCTTCTGGACAACTGTCCCATCAGCTATAAGCATAAGCACTTGACATGACCCGGGGCCTGACACCGAGCACGTGGGCTCGGGATTGAATGGGTGTGAACTTCCTGCCCGCCCCCAGGAATCCGCCGCCAGACCGCCCACTGCGTGAGGAAGGGCCACGGGATGGTGAAGGCCACGTTCTGTGACCCGGAAACACAGCCCAACGGGAGACAGAAGAAGTGTCGGGAAAAGGACTGTCCGCCCAGGTGAGCGTTGATGGCAGCTGGAGCGCTGGCGTCTGCTTGCAACCACTGCTCGGTGACAGGCGGCCCGTGGCTCTGTTGTTAGAATAAGTACCGGGAGCTATCACAGGCCTCTGGCCGCGCTGCTGGAGCTTGTGGCAGGCTGCGAGCGAGGACACTGTCTCCACAGAGAGCGGTGTTTGTTGCCAACGGTGTGCTCTGTGTTTAATTATTGAGTGAGACGAAGTTTCAGGAGAAAGCTCTCTAGGTTACCCAAAAGTTCTTTAGTTATCGCGTGTGGCTTTCCGAGAGCCTCTTCCCAGGGGACCGCAGCCTCCAGACAGCACATGGACACTTGGATCCCAACCCCCACTGTACCTACGGCTGCCTGGAGGAGTATGTTTACGACCCCTGCTTTCTTAGCCTCAGCCCTGTTGAGACCTGGGGCCAGATAGTTCTTTGTTGTGGGGGCTGTCTTGTGCATCATAGGATGCTTGACAGTGTTCCTGGTCTGTAGCTGTTTAGATCTGAGCAGCACCCTGCCTCGCCCCCCCCCTCCCCCCATGACAACCAAAAAGGTCTCAGAATGTCTCCTGTGGGACAAAGTCACCCTTGGTTGGAACCACTTTAATATAGATATTAGTTTCTACTAATCATGTTGGGATCATAGAAGGTAGCTTGGATGTTATTATGAGGGGTTCATGTTAAAAAAAAAAGAGAGAGAGAGAGAAGAGGAAGGTGGGAAAGGAGGGGAGGGCAAGAGAGGGAGAGAAGCACAGAGGAACAAAAGGAAGGAAGGAAGGAAGGAAGGAAGGAAGGAAGGAAGGAAGGAAGGAAGAAAGGGAGGGAGGGAGGGAGAGAGGGAGTGGAGGTTGAGTTAATTGCTAATGGCCAATGATTTCATCAGTTGTGCTGATGTAATGAAGCCTCCAATTAATTAATTGATTGATTGATTGATTAAAGCTCTCCAAAGGGTATGGAGAGCTTTCAGGTGCTGAGCCACAGGGAGGTGCTGGGAGGGTGGCGCGCCTGAAGAGGATGTGGAAGCTCTGTGCCCTTTGCCCTACGAATCTCTTCTGGATGTTCCTGAGTGTATCCTTCAATGATGCACCAGTCATCTAGCAAATAACTGTTTTCTGAGTTCTGTGAGCCACTCTGGCAAATGACCGGGCCTGAGGAGGAGGTCATGGGAAGCCTCTGTTTCTAGCCAGTAGGTGAGAAGCGCAGGGGACATGGACTTGCCATGGGCATCTGAAGGGCAGGGCGTGGGCAGTCTGGAGGGACTGAGCCCTGAACTCCAAACAGCTGGTGTCAGAATTGCTTAGTGTTGAAACAGCAATTGTGAAAGTGGAAGAGAAGCAAACAGTAGGGGTGTTTTAAGCGCCTCCTTCACTCTTGGCAACGTTTTAGAGTTGCCTGATGCGTTCTCTTCATTGTTCTCAGTTACTTGGAAAGTAACTGTTGTGCCAGTTTGACAGGAAGCAAAGTTCATTGCTGCACGCACATCAAGCAGCTGGGAGATGGCAGAGGTCGGAATCCAAGGCTCCAAAGCCCGTAGCAGGTCTGCGAGCAGCAGCGCCCCCACAGAGAGGCGGGCACCCCTCCTCTCTTCCGGGCTGTGCTAGTGGTGGGAACCAAAACATTGGATGCAGACACTCACGTGCTAAGGCCGAGGCTGTGTACCTCAAAACGATGTGGTCCAAGGCTGTGGATTTGGTATCAGCTCCGTGTTTTATAACAGACATCAGTCCGTGTCTGACATTTTCTTATTCGCCTGTAGCTACAAACTGGGCCTCACTCTTTCCAGAACTCCCTTTCCACAAGGGTGGTTATTTCTTCCTACCTCTGCCCTCCAATTTCCAGAATGTATAGAGTTGGAGGTAGCCCTATAATAAGATACAGGCAGAGTTCGAAGGAGATGGGTATTGGGCAAGAGTGCAGAGGCTGGTGGACAGAAATGGTAGAAAATGAGCCAAGGCTGAACCCCTGTAGACACAGGAGGAGCCTTGACAAAGTAACTCTTAACTACACAGTCTCAGCTCTTGGGACTGGACATCGGCCCTGAATGTGGTGGCTGGAAACTCAGTCAAAGATTGCCATGTCCTTTCCCCGCAGCCACAAACGTTACTTTACTTGGATCTTGGCAGATGTGGTTATGAGTCTTGAAATGAAGAGATTATCCTGGATTATCCACTTGGGCCTTAAATATCATCCCAAGTGTTCTCAGAGGGAAAATTCACACACACACACACACACACACACACACACACACACACACGAGAAGGCAATGCAAACATGAGCAGAGAGAGATTTGAAAGACACTAAGACACCAGCCTTAAAGATTGGCATGAGGGTCTACCAGCCAAGGAATGCTGGCAGCCGCCCCAGCCTGCAAGAGGCCAGGAGCAGGCCTTCCCCAGAGCATCTGGAGAGAGTGCCACCCGCCTACACTTGGATTTCATGCCAGTAATACTGACTTTGGAGTCTGTCCTCCAGAACTATAAGAAACTAGATTTCTGTTGTTTCAAGCTGCCAAGTTTGTGGCGATTTGTTATAGAAACTAGTAGAGGCGACTTAGGGCAGGCACGATGTAAGAGCTGGGGAAGGGCAGAGCAGACCCCTCCACCAGGTCACAGACGCTCCAAAGCTTGGAAACCACGCGATTACCTACAAGGGGTAGAGTCTGGGTTTGAACCCAGATCCGTCTGCTGAGTGGTACAACCACATAATGCTGCTGCCCAGGACCTCAGAATGGACAAGTTCTCGTGCTAAAGCCAGAACCAAATTTGGGTAGCCAAATTTACGGTATTTCTCACACATTAAAACACAATGAAAATGATACAAACAAGCAGAAAAATCTGACTCTAAACTGAAGTCATGCATGTAGGTTCACAAAGGGATTCATGAAAAGGAATTACGTTAACTTGCTTGTTTTAAGAATAACATAACAGGGGTTTTGATGACCTTCTCTCCCACGTCCATGTGTGTCTGCAGGTGGTGGGCAGGGGAGTGGGAAGCATGTTCGGCCACATGTGGGCCCCACGGAGAGAAGACGCGAACAGTGCTGTGTATCCAGACCACGGGCTCTGATGAGCAGGCTCTGCCGGCTAAAGACTGCCTGCACCTGCTGAAGCCCAAGGCCCTCGCGTCCTGCAACAGGGACATCTTGTGTCCATCGGACTGGACCGTCGGCAACTGGAGTGAGGTGAGCGCAGGGTTCAAAGGGAAGCTGGCATTATTTATCAGCCCCTCCCATTCCGCGTCAGTCCCAGTGACCCTGGAGAAAATGGTGCAGTGGCCAGCGTCGCACCTCTGGCCCGTTTCCTGCATTTCCCACTGCCCAGTATTCTCTTGGCTTGTTTTCTGTTCTTACGGATCTTCCTCTTCCTTATCCAGTGGTCAGACACCTGCCGGGGAGGAGCTGGGTCCTGCTTCACAGGCCCACGCCGCTCAGTGAGAAATGGTCAGGGTTTTTTTGGCCTGTTGTTAACCCACTGGCCGGGGAGTGGGAAGTCAGGGCTCCCACCACCCCGAGAGCCAGTTTGTGAGACGTTGACTGTGCTTATGTGTCCCTGGAGCTGCTCCAGTAAGTGAAGCCAAGGACTGTTGCTCTGATGGTGGGATGACAGGCACTGCACCTGACCCTCGAAGATGCCTCTCAAACATCCATGTTTCCAGCACGTGTCAAGGCCAGACCTGACCCAGGTTTAGGGTGGCTACTGTTATTAGCCACATCCATTCAAATAAGTGGTGCGTTTCCCCAAGTTAATTTGATTTAATTCTCTGAATGTAACTAGAAATCAATGGGCTTGGTCATGAAAATTTCCAGGCTTCCGTTTTCCTTGGGTCACCGTGGCACCTGGTAACATCAAGGCTCATGCGCCCAGGGTCTGTGGTAGAAATGGACCCCTTTATCTCCCAGGGTCCTGGAGTCTCTGGGGCTCCACTCTGCTTCCTTATGCACATTTCAGTCAACGACCTAAGGAGTGAGAAAAGACAAATGCTTTTTAAAAACCGGCAGGGCAGAATCTATCCATGGATGCTGACTTCCATAAGCTCCCTTGGGAAGCCACACGCCTTCCACAGTAATGCTCCCATTGACCGGAGTGTCTGAGGAGCGCTTCTTAGAACTCACCTTCAGAGAAATGGAAAACACTGGGTTCAGGAGGATCAATTAGAAAATCAATTAGAACTAAGTTTGATGATTGAGGGACTAATGTGACCAATTCAGATAAAACCTTTTGGGTTAAAACATATTTTATTATAAGTAAACAAGATTAATTTTAATCACTTATAAAGTTACTCTGAAAGTGTTTACTGAAGAGGAATTTGAAAATTTGTATATGCAACGTTACCATCCCTGAAGATAACTAATTGAACACAAAAGAACTCCTCTGAGTACAGCCACTTTGATGACCTCATTTCCAAAACTCGATTTCATTAGCTCACAGTCACAGCTTGGGCTTATTTAGCTTCTAATCCTGTAGAGAATGCATTCTCGGTCATGTAGCTGAAATTTTTTTAAAATGGCAAGTATGGTCCCTGTACTATAAGATCTTCCTATCAAATGGAGAAATAGGACAAAAAGAAAAGAAGAGGTACATGTAAAGAAAATGTACCTACAAACTAATACAGGTGCACTGCCGATAGCAGCACTGATTCATGTGGACACATCAGCAATAGTCCAGAACATTCCCCCTGCTATTCCCAGGAGGGTACAATGAGAGCCAATGTTGTAAATCACACTGTTGTTGAAATAAGGCTGAATGGGGTACTGTGGCTCGCCCATTAAATCTATTTATCAAAAAATGTTTTGGCTGCATCAGAAGCAGTTAATTTTTGTCATGTAGAATTTACTAATTGCCAGAGTCCTAATGCTTTTTAAAAGAACTCCAATTACATGTTTGGCTGAGGAGTTCTTTTTATTGTGTCCTGTTTATGGGGAGCAAAATGATGTGACTTAATTGGGACAAAGGACCAACATGTTGGCGTGATGTGACAAGTACTTGTGTCGGTTGTTACAGATACAGGCCCTTGCAGGCGTATTGTTAGCAGACAGGGAATCCAGTTTCTAGCTTCCACTTGACAGAGCAGAACAGAAAGACTGAGCCGCTGCCTTCGTCCAGATGTTGCCAGCACAGGTGCCTGTAGTTAAATCAGAATCAAAATACTCATCAAATGGGTCTTCCTGTCTTCCCTCTGCCATCTTGCTAATGGCCGTACACATTCGCCCTCAATTTCTCAAATACTCTGTTTGCCGAAATACAATGAAATGTCTTTGACATTCTAGCTCTGCTCAGCTACTTTTTAAAGAGAGATGACATAGTGATTCTTGCTATATAGTGTTCATGGTCTGGATTTTGTCTTGCGGTTGACCTTAATTCAAGCAGGTAATGGGCAAGAAATGCCTGCTCATTTGGTCTGCACTGGACCTTTTGGGTCACCCTGGATGAGTCTAAAGCTCTCACGTAACTGGGCCAAAAGACCCAGGAACCGTGAGGCCCCGGGACTCCTGTAGAATGGTCCCCCCTGTACTGACCAAGGTGGGAAGAAGGAGGAAAGGCAAATCGATGAGCTGCCCTTCTCAGTCAAGGCAGATCTACCAGCCCAAGCGAGGAGAGAGGGCGGGCTCAGCTGTGTCCATGGTCAGAGCGGAGACCTAGTGAGAGCTAGAGGCTTCTCCCAGGGAGGGCTTGTCTGCCCTCCATGGCCAGCCCCTCCCCCTCTAAGCTCAGGTTCTACTCCAATCTCAAATTTCAATAAGACTCATCTCCTGGTTTTGCCCAACTTTCTGGCTAGAAAGATAAAGAAGGGGGGCTCTTTATGTTGTAAACAAAGACAACGTATCAAAGTTTCTGTGGCTCCATTTTCACTGGGGACACCACTCCAGGGACCAGCCTGTGAGAGGCAACCAGTCTAGTGGTGAAGGACATGGTCTCTGGGACATGAGTCCCTGGATTCAAAGCCTGTCTCGGCCACTTGTTGGATAGGTAACCTCTTTGTGGTTCCTTCTACTTTGCTGTGGCTTTTCTCCGTCCACAAAATGTAGATGGGGTAGTACTTAGCCTCAAGGGAAGTTATGAGGATTAAATAAATGAATATTTCTAAGTACTTACTAGAACAGTGCCAGGCACACAGTAAACGCTACACATATAATTATTTGTGAGTAAAGTGAATAGATGGAAATAACAATAATGTCATCCATTGTTTGTTGAGCGCTCTCTATACTACACAGTGTGTCTCATTTAACTTGTAAAATAACTCCATGTGGTGGCTATTAGTTCATTGAGTCCCCTATTTCTCCTGGCAGTTAGGCTAATGGATTTAGTGGGATAGCAGTTTTTCTAGATTTTCCAGCCCTGGCAAGCCCTCATTGTACGGCCTTGAGCTAGTGTGAAACCTCTCTCGGCCTTTTCTCACTTAGAAAGACAGGGTTAGTGTAAGGCTTGAACATAATCCATGTAGCCCTTCCCATAGTGCCTGGCAAATAGCCATTGTTTACTAGATGGCAATTTTATTATCAGGCAAGAAGACAAGGGTCTATTTTCTATGCTACTCTGATTTTACAAGCCTGTCCGGTCAATGGCACCCAAATATTCTGATGGAATTGATCTGTGGCCTCTTTCACTCGGGGGCCATAAATCAATAGCCAAACTCAGGACCCTTTTATGCACAGAGCACTGTAAGCACAGGGCTAAGGGGCTACACAAATGTGAGAGACCTAAAAAGTGTGGGGGGGGACTAATGCATTGCTTCCAAAGTCACAAAAGGCCACTGCCAAATCGGCAATCAGTATTTAATTACATATTAACAGCAGATACGTATCGGGCACGGACAGTATCTCACAATGGCCTTATTAAGCCCCATTGTAATGGTGGAGAAACTCGGGCATAGAAACTTTTCGAAGGTCACACCGCCTCCCAGCACAGGGCCGGGATTTGAGCACCCTGCAGAGCGTGGAGGGAACACTGAGGGAGGGGTCTCTGCCATGACCCCATATAGATCAGTACCGCGCTACAGGGCTCACGGAACACTTTGTAAAGGGTCGCTCCCACCTGTGATTAACTACCCACCTTAAATGGCAGGAAAGGCCCTCGATCTACACACAGGGGTATGTCTAGCTTTTCATAGGATTCTACCTGACCCAGGCGAATGGAAATGGAGCTTGTGGGTGAGACTATGGGAGTTACAATGGGTATTCCCTACATAGAAAGGGGAAGGTTCACTAGAACCAACTTCATGGGTTGCAGAGAATGGATACGCATTTTACATTCATTTAATAGCATCAGAACCCTAGGAGAGATATTACTACTGTCTCTTTAAAAGATTAGGTGACCTATTTAAATGTTTGCACTCTTTGTGAATGCACTGTCCAACACTCAAAGCCCAGGGAGACTTCGTTTATACCCTCATGGTTTGTATCTTCCGTTTGTGGAGCGTGAATGGTTGGTTCTGAGCCTCACTCAGATGGTCTCCAGAAGAGACAGTTCCATGGGAAACTAAAGGCGTATAGACGCAAAATACAGTGCGGCCTTGACTTACGAGTGTCCTGACTAACGAGTTTTTTGAGATACCAGCTGTCTCTCGGCAGATTTTTTGCATTGAGTTGATAGAGTAATTTGACTTAAGGAGCTCCTTAACGAGCTCAAGCTCGGTCTCGGAACGAATTAAACTCGTAAGTCAAGGCCCCACTGTAGAAAACAGAGAGGTAGGTGTGAACGTTTTAGTTGCGCAGTGTGTTTCTGATCTGTCGTCGCCTGAGGGTGGGAGCCAGCCGCTCCCCCCAGACTGCTGTCCTCTCTTCCAGTGCTCCGTCTCCTGCGGTGGCGGCGTGCGGACTCGCAGTGTCACCTGCGCCAAAAACCACGACGAGCCTTGCGACGTGACGAGGAAACCCAACAGCCGGGCTCTGTGCGGCCTCCAGCAATGCCCGTCCGGCCGGAGGGTTCTGAAACCCAGCAGAGGCACCGTTTTCAGTGGGAAAAGGCTACCGACCTCTGAGCGTGACTCCCGACAGCCCATCCCGCCCACATCCGGCCCCAGGATGCTGCCCACGCCCACGGTGCCCGGCTCCAGGGCCACCAGCACCAAGGCCGCCGGCAGCCCTCGTCCTACCACGGCCTCCCGGGAAGGAGACCTGGGTGGGACGCGGTGGCAGAACAGCTCCATCCACACCGAACTGGACACCCGTGATGCCATTCCCACCGGGACTACCTCCCAGCCCATCCTCACGGCCTGGTCGCTGAGCCCCCAGCCACAGGGAGAGGATGCTTCCAACTCAGAGCCTGGTCCCACCTCACAGGGAGGCCTCTTAGCCACAACCATGAGCGCTTCTGACTGGTCACCTCCCAGCAGCCCCGGGGCCCGGCAGGCGCCTCCACTCTCCAGCACCTTGAGCGAGGAGCTGGACGCAGAGAGTCACAGCGGCTCAGGGGAAGCCAGTGAGCCCCCTGAGAACAGGAATGGAAGCAGCTCTGTCCTATGGACCCAGACCACGGCCCCCAGAAAGGATGCTTCAGTGGAAAGAAGCACAGACATGCCACTTGCACCTCCGCCAACGCCTTCTCTTGGGGGGGCATCCTTGTGGCCACCTGTCGGCACAGTGACAGGACTGCTACCCAGCCAGGGACCTGCTACTCTCCAAACCGGGACACCCAGAGCTGAGGGGATGGTCACTGGAAAGCCAGCTACCGCGTCACTCCCTCTGGGGGGAGGCCCCCCGCCAGCACCCTCAGAAAAGTCAGTAAGCCACAGCCCCCCACAACTTCCCAGCAGCATGAATCCCACACAGAGCCCTGGGCCCATCCTCACCGAGGACGACGCCACCAGTCTAATGGCCGAGGGCTTTCTGCTGAATGTCTCCAGTTACCAGCAGCGCCCGGACCGCGGCCCTGCGCACTGGATCGTCGGAAACTGGAGTGAGGTAGGCGTTCCATTTCTTACTGCATGCCCGTTTCTATCTGGAAAATAGTTAGGGCTGATGCATTCTTGTGCACGTTTCAAAATGGGCTTGTCTGAATACGGTCTAAGGTGGCCTAAGCATGAAGCAATCAGGTTTATGCCCTCACCCCCCTCTTTACCTCCCTTATTCCAAAAATGAAAAAGAAATCTCCAGGGAAGAGAACAGATGTGGTGAGATACAGTGAAAAGCATCTGGAACCAAGTCAGGAGGGCTGGCTCAGCCAGCTGTGTGATCGTGGGGAACTGGCTCATCCCACTGAGCCTGCTTCTCATTTGCAGGACAGTGAGCCAGTGTGGGTCATCGCCAGTGTCCCTCCAGCTATAAGCTGTGATCATCCTATGATGATGGCCAACCGAAAGGGCACGTTTCATTCAGAAAGCTAACATTTGAGACCCTTCTCTAACCCGTCAAGTGAGAACAATTAGAATGAAATTCCAGCACCCATTCTTTAAAGAATTCTATAGCTCACGGTATCAATTATTTACTTTCTGGTGGGTGTGTTCACTTATATTCAAAAAGATCATGTTAGCTTGTTAAAAGAATTAGAATATGGAGGGAGAAAAAACACGTGATGAAAAAATGCTGGTCCCTATTGTCAGGCTGCAGGAATTTGGCGTGACATTTGTTTCTCCATTTCTAGAACGGATTCAATCCTTGGGGGCATCAAAATCATTTCTCACCCATTTGAATTTCAAATGCACAGTATATGTACTTGTTAAAAGTAATTTGACAACTCAAAGAAGGACTTTGTGGCAAAATAACCGCATGTTCAAACTATTCAGCATTTTTATGATATTTCATGGCTCATGTTTGTAGCTAAAAGGAAGTGAAGTAATAATAGCTAATATAAAAAAGACCTTTAATTTATAAAGCATGTTCATTTCCAAGCCACTTTCATATGTAATCTTTTATTTTTTTCCTTTTGACAGCCCTGAGGAGCATGTAGGGTCTGATTGATACCAATTTATAAATAGAGAAACTAAGGTATTCCGTGGTTCAGTAACTTGTCTAAGGACACACTTGTCATTTGGATAATGAATCTTCTAACTTCTTTTATTCTAATCTACTGTCTCTAGTGAATTTCAGCACCAATTGACAATTTAGCTGTATAAATTTTTTGGTATGAATTAATTGTTATGCCCAGATTTCAGGATCCCCAAGAGACCACACCAGGGAGCCAGCCGTGTCCGATGCAAAAGCAAAGAGTCTTTTATTCAAACCCGGGCTTGGCTCCCCTACCCTCCTTACTGACGCAGCAGCAAGTGGCAGAGAGAGCCCCCCCCTGTGGGGAGAGGGATTTTATAGTAAGGGGAGGAGAGAGGACTGTGGGCCCTGCTGATTGGACAGGTGCAAGTCGGTGTCTCGTTACACAGGATGTGGTTGTATCTATGGCACGCACTTCCCTTGATTATACTTCCGGGAAGAAGCTACTTGCTGAGCACATGGCTGCTGCCCAAAAATAGAGGATTCAGGGCAAGATGGAGGGCATAGCCCTCGCCCTTTCATTAATCATCTTGGGTCATAGAATTGACTATATTGGTAATAAACAGGTAAATTCAAACTTTCAAAATTTTTTGTTTACATTTGAGCTCTGTTTTCACATTGATTCATGTTTGATTTCTTAAGTAACTATTGCATTTCCTGTCTGTGGAGCAGCATCTTACCATCTCCATTTGCATGTGGAAAATGCAAGTTCTGGAGGAAAAGAAATTTTCATGCTTAGAGTATGGAGATTCCTGACATTTTACTCATATTTCTTTCCATTAGCAAAGTTCTAATGGGCTCTAGTGAGGAGGATGTCAACAGGGAGCATTTATAAAGCATGTCCCATGCTTAAGTAGCATGGTTTTGTGCTAATTAACACGAATTCCCACATTTAATCCTCACCACAGCGCAAGGAGATTGGTCATATTTTCCCATGTTAGAGATGAGGAAGCTGGAGCTGAGAGACGTTGAGTAGTTGGCCTGTATCACACACCCCTGAGTGGTGGAACAGAGATTTGAATCCAAGTGGGCAGACTTCACTGCCTCTGACCCATCACTTTGCAAATCAGAAAACACCGCCACTCTCTCTGCCTTCTGTTCTGTTGTTTTCTTCTTTAGTCACATGTCATAAAAATAATGCCAATTAAGTGGTGACCCTGGGTGAACAGATGAGAAAATCACAAAGTTCACCAGAAAATATTTTAAAGTAACATTGAGGGCTCTATGGGTACTTTTGAGCTCACAGATCCAGTGGGTTCAGCCTAGAAATAAAATTGATCTGCTTAGGTTTTGTGAGTGACATCCTTGAAAGGATGTACTTGAAAGTAGCACCCTCAGAACGTATTTTCCCTTCCAAAAACATGGGCATTCTTAAAGGTCAGATAAACAGGTTTGTTGTCTTAATCCATCAAAGCAGTCTGGGCCATGTATGGCCTCTGCAGACTCAAAGACAAAGAGAACACATTATGGAAACTGAGGCTCCTAGTTAATTTGTAGTATTTTGTTAATTAGTTAATGGAGATGTAGTCCGAAAGCACCTACAATCAAAGACCCTGTAGGCCTTGAAAAGAATACAGCCTGGTCAAACAGGATCTGAAAGAGTAGGAGATAAAAGGCATAGCTACAGGGTTGATGTCAGAATACTCAAAGTGTGTATTTGTAATTAGAAATCACACACACACACACACACACACACACACACACACACACACAAGGCTAGGCTGTTGTAACAAACAGAGCATTATAAGTTATGGTTCGCTAAAACAGAGGTTGACTTCTCTCTCACATAATAATGCAAGGTAATTCCAGGTCTGCAATGGTGGCCGTAGAGAATGATGCTCGGATCCATGCTGTCATTTGGGAACCCAGGCTGACAATGGCTCTGCCATCCTCCTCTCAGCAAATTGGCCTGGGTCACCATCCTAGTCTCAGAGAGGGAAAAGAGCGTAGAGGTATCCCTGTGGGGGGTGATAAGCCAGGCCTGGAAGGGGCACCAATTACTTCTGCTCACACTCTGTTGTCTAGAACTCAGTCACATGACCACACCAACCTGCAAGGCAGCTGAGAAATGTAACCGAACTGCGTGCCCAGGAAGAAGAGAAGAAAGTTTATAATGATTACCTAGCAGCCTGTGCCACCGGATGGCATGGCCCACTGTGATTTAGGAAGCTCATTCTGGAAGCAGTGAGGATGAGGGATTTGACTTGTTGGGAGGTTTCTGCAGTGGCCTATGTGAGGTGTGAGACCTAGGACAAGAATGCTCAGGCTGATGAGGGGAAGATAAATTCAAAATACCTTTAGAACTCAACATCCACAGGACTTTGTGAATAATTGATGTGGGCTTTGGGAGGAGGGAGGAGGAGAGGACTCTGCCATCACTGTTCCATTGGAATGAATCTTGGGTGTCTGTTGGGTCGTGCTCCTATAAATGGAGATGCCGCACATTAAAGAGGAGGAGAGTCTTAACAGAGACAAAGAAAGGAGGGTGATGAGTGTAGTTATTGATCAAGTTAATTGGTGGTATCCTGGGATCTCCAGCAGACGTTTATGTGTGTGAGTCCGAGGCTGTTGGGAGAGGTGAACACTGGAGATAAGACTTGGCAGTCAAGACCAGTAGGTAAAGTTAGGACCCTGAGAGGGAAGGAGGTCACCCGTTAACCTGTAGGATGCAAGGGAGAGTGGGCCAGGCATGGGACCTGGCTAACAAAGAGATCCCACGTGGAAGACTAGTGAGGAACAGTCTACTATTTAAGACATAAACCAAGAGAAATGGTACCATGGTGTCTAGGAACATAAGGACTGACAGTGGTCCTAGTGGGTTTTGCACTTAGCAGGTCACTGGTGACGTTGGGAAGAACGGCGTTTATATTGAGATGGAGGGAGATGCCAAGTTGCAGTCCGAAGGGGAGACCCTTCAGTAAACTACCACCGTCCTCAGGTAGAGGAGTCCCCACAGTCGGGCTGCGAATAAGAAAGGACAAGCCCTTCTCAGTCCACAAGTTAATACACAAGTTTTATTTAGAAGTAGCATTAGGATGGCCCAGAAATTAGTTTCTTTTCCCATCCTCTTATCTTTTAACCCGACCCCCACATCCCAAAGCATTTGTGGAATTATTAAATTGAAATGTGTTCTAATGCTTTTGTCCTGAAGATACGTAATATGTGATAATTGATAAATGTTCATCGATTCTATGAGAAATTACTATCTCCAAATAAATCAAAGTACATATTCAATCTTATGACTGAGCCCAGAGGTTAATTGACACATTTTGATTATATTCTAATCAAGATACACAGAATTAATTCCATCTCAAATGTCATCCTTTGACTTTGACAAAAATAAACTGTCTTATTGAATACATTGTAGTTCACCAAAAATTTATCAACCTCGCGGGAGCCATTGAGAGCTACCACTTCCAGGGAGCTTGGCTGGGAAGGGGAACCGGCCCGGAGTGCAGTTTTCCAGAGCGACACACTTGGCAGGCGCTTCCCTCATGACCAGGCGTGGGGCCTGCTCTGCTTCAGCAGCTTAGGAAACAAAATGTTTAACCCAGAACTGTCCATTGCCACAGCAACGCCAAACAACAACCAACCACGACACCTCAGTAAACATTGATGTTTGTTCACGGGTCTGTGGGTCAGCTGAGAGCTTCTGCTATCGGGGCTGAGCTTAGCTGGGCTGAGTGGCTGCTGGAGAGTCGGCTGAAGCTGGCCGCTCTGGGATGGCCTTGGGCGGGTCACCCCACTCTGTTCCACATGATCTCTCATCCCACAGCAGACTAGCCTTGTTCCCATGGCAGAGACGGGGTCCAAGAGAGAGGACTGAAACCAGCAAGGCCCCTTGAGAACTGGCACAACATCACCCACTGCCTTTTTAAAATATATTTTATTGATTTTTTTTTTATAGAGAGGAAGGGAGAGGGATAGAGAGTTAGAAACATCGATGAGAGAGAAACATCAATCAGCTGCCTCCTGCACACTCCCTCCTGGGGATGTGCCCGCAACCAAGGTACATGCCCCTGATCGGAATCGAACCTGGGACCCTTCAGTCCGCAGGCTGCTGCTCTATCCACTGAGCCAAACCAGTTAGGGCATCACCCACTGCGTTTTATCCGCCAAAGTCACAGAGCAGTCCCGATTCAAGAGCTGGGGAACTATATGCCACTACCTGCCGGGAGGAGCTGCAAAGTCCCATTGCAAAGCGCATGGTGTGAACAAGGGGTCGCTCAGTGCACTTCCGCTGTCATTGTCTCTGTTATAGACACATGGTCTAGTTCAGGGGAGAAAGTGCTAGGAACCTGAGAGATACAAACCAAATGACAAACAACTTTAAGGACGGGGAGAGATGAGCTCCATGAGCCCAGTGGAAACAATGATGACCTGCTGTTTTCTACTCTGCCCTTCTATGATTCTACAGTGAATTTATCTGTCACCTATGTGTTCTAACCCAAGAAGTCACACAGAGTGAAACATGACATGATATGGAGGGTGAAAATCCAGCAAGAGAAATTAATGTAAGGCTGGTTTTTATTCATAACTCATCAAAAAAAACTTCCAAAATGTCATAGATGGAACTCCCACCTCTTTTCTTTATTAGCCCAGAGCTGTGTTTCTCATGCCCTGAAACAGCCCTGCCTTCTGAGGATGAGCACGGAAGAGGGGATGCAAGTCAAAGCAACCATGTGAAAGCACCAGGCATGTAGAATACAAGGAATTATAGGGGGTCAAAAGCAGCCATGAGAAAGCATCAGGCACGTAGAATACAAGAAATTATAGGGGGAACGTTTGTGCAGCTTTCAAGGTGACCCCTTGCTAAACCTGAGCTATTAAAGAGTTATAAACAAATTAAAACATCTTGTGAGGAATGGACTATGCGTGTGGCAAACGGTGATTGATTTATTCACCACCATCGGGTCAAGGAGGGAAAGCATCCTGTCGTAGCATCTGTCTAACTCCACGTGTGGTCTGAGGACCCCCAGCACCTGCATCCCCTGGGAGCCGGTTAGAACTGCATCCTCTCCAGCCCCTCCCAGACCTCCTGAGTCAGAACCTGCCTGTCACAGCGTGTCCCGGTGACTCCCACGGACACTCGCGGTGCAGAAGTGCTGCTGTAGCAATATTAGACTGCGGTTTAGAAGCAGAAAATCCTAGTCCGACTCCTGGGGCAAGCCAGCTCCCCAAGCCTGGGTTTCTTTATAACAATGCCCTTTGCACCACAGTGTGTGAGGAGAGCCTCGTTGAGATAGGTGATAGCGGTGGTGTAAGAGGTGAGGTGGGAGGCAGGTGTGCGGGTCTGACGTCACTGGAACAGCACTGGTGTGAAATGCAGCGGTTTGGCACTGAAGCCAGCATCATTTCTTTTTTAAACTTTACTGTTGAAAGCATTACAAATGTCCCTTTTTTTTGCACTGGCTTGTCATCCTGCATATCAGTCAGGGATTCCAGCCGTGGCCATTTATTATAATGGGAATTATTTAAATTCCTGATGCGTGGGCCCTGCCAGCTGAGATGCAGCCATTTGCCCGGGGCCGGGGCCCCGTGCTGGTGTTTGTTAAGATTGCTGGGCAGTTCCAGTGAGCAGCGAGACTGGGCAGTCCGCCTGCAGGTGCCCGGTGTGTCTGAGGAAGCCGGGCTCAGCTCTGTGTTCTGTCCCCCCCACAGTGTTCCACCACATGCGGGCTGGGGGCCTACTGGCGCCGCGTGGAGTGCAGCACCCGGGTGGATTCCGACTGTGCGGCCGTTCAGAGGCCGGACCCCGCCAAGAGATGCCACCTCCGTCCCTGCGCCGGCTGGAGAGTGGGAAACTGGAGCAAGGTAACGGACCAGGCTCAGTGGGGGGGGGGGGGGAGGGGGGAGGGGGGTTACTGACCAGGCTCAGTGGTGGGTGGGTGAGGAGGTCTTACATAAGCATTTGCTATAAAGTTGGTTCTCTGCTCCCTTCCCCCATCCCTGCCTCCCTCTGCCTCATTTCTGTGAGGAAATTGTGGGTGAGTAAATCCTAGGTGTGGCCATAGGCCTACTACCCTGTGGACAGTAGTCTTAGCACAAGTAGAGTGTGTGTGTATCTCCCTGTCCTTTCCCTCACCGGGTGAGTTACACTTGTGGAGTGAATTGCTTGTCCAGCATGCAACACTATTTCTAAATTACTTACTTTTACCATTACAAGTAATAAGTATACGTTATCGCATGCATAATCAAATCATGTCCCAGCAGCTGCTCACAAAGCCAGTATTACATTGAATCTGCCAGACTCAAAATGAAAGCTGAACTGCAAAGGAGAATTTGATCTTTAAAAGTGCCGATCGGGCTGTGGTTTTATTGTCTTTGCTCGTCGGGCTGTCTGCAGAGTTCTTGTAAAGGCTGCATCACCTCGCGTGGGTGCTCGGGGCCACTAGCCAGGCTGCCTCTGCTTCACACCAGCCTCTGGGGACCTCCACCCAGGCTGCCTGGCACTGGCCAGCGGTGAGTTGAAAGCTGCCTGGCTGTAGGCGGCACAGAGGTGGGGCCATGCGTGCACCCGTCTGCCAAGCACACACAGCCCCAGATGCCCTGCGGGCCCCGTCTTCTCTCTGGGGAGCAGCACTGCGGGGGGGTCTCACTGACAGCTCTGGGTCCCCTGCAGACTGAGCTGCAGACAGGACGGTGGAATGTCATTTTGCTCTCGAAGCTTTTCCAGAGTGAGGCTCTGGTCTTTTGGAAGAGAGGGGGCAGGGGGAGCAGGCAACTCCCTGAGAAAACTGCTTGGCCTTTCTTTGCCACCCGCCAAGCCCCGCCCTCTGTGGCATGCCATTTTCCTTTCAGGGGGGAATGCTGGTTCTTGTTTCTTTCTCTGCCAACTCATAACAAACTCAGGGTCCAACAAGGACCAAACGCTTGGCTATAAATCCTCTTCCATATCCAGAAAAATCTCAAGAAACATCTTCTACCTCTGAGCAAGTCCTAAAGGCCCACTTTCCCATCACTGGGACTAGTCCTTGGTCCTTCCCGTGGAAATTACACGGCTCATAAGAAGGGCAGACCCATGGAATAGATCACACATTGAACACGTCACTCCAGTTAAAACCCTAGGGGTTCCAGCTGGTGAAAAGCCCGGATGAGAGACCTGGGAGCTCTTCTCTGGGGCCAGACCCCCCCCCGAGAAAGCCCTGCTCTGCCCGGCATCCCTTCCCTGCCTCTGAGTCCCTCCCTCGTGGCCGGGAGGGGGAGTACTGTCAACCCCGCAGCATGCCGGGTGGCTGTAGATGTCTCTACATGTCATCAGGTTCTGCGGAATGTGGTCCCCACCACAGCTCAAGTCTAATCCTCAGGGTGACACAGTCCCATCAGTACAGAGAGCGTCTCTTCTCTCGGGATGATAGATACACCCAACATCAGAGACACCATTGAGCTACGGATGGTGGGTTGCGCTGACTTTTATTTTTTCTGACTATTGGATGTTATGGATACTGCATACGTGACTTCTCTTTTGCCTGGGAATGTTGGTTTCGATTTTATCTTCAATTCTTTTTTTAATATGTTTTTATTGATTTCAGAAAGGAAAGGAGAGGGAGAGAGAGACAGAAACATCAATGAGAATCATCGATCATCTACCTCCCACACACCCCACACTGGGGACCGAGCCCACAACCCTGGCGTGTGCCCCTGGCCGGAACTAAACCCAGGACCCCTCAGTCCGCAGGCTGACACTCTGTCCACTGAGCCAAACCAGCCAGGCCTTTATCTTCAATTCTGATGATGAAGAGAGGCTGGGTTTTGACTCCCACTTTTTAACCAGGTCATAAGGGTGTCGGAAGTCCCGACCACACACTGGGAAAGATTCTTAGTTTCCCTGTTCCATCAGGATTTTTAGCTCACTCAGAGGCAACCCCCCAAATCTACAGTAGGAAAGTGGACCCCTGGTTTTGCTTTAAATATCCAAAGGGTTTAGATTCTACCAAGTTAACAGGTTTGCCTTTTCACAGATACTTTCTCAGAGGGAAGAATCCTAATTTTCCCTTGTACCTTCTGCATTATCCCACCAATACCTACCCCAGGTCCAGGAACACTTTAATGCTTATGGGACTGCAGGGTGTGCTGCAGTCTCACCTGAACCCACAGGTGTCACACCTGGGGCCCCCGGGTTTCTCACTATGATTGCTCTGAATTGCACTTGTTTTATCAGCTGTGTCTCTACCACTGTGTGCTTGCCGGAGCCTAATACCACTGCTGTGGCTGTTCTCTCACATGTGACGGTAGAATGAGAAGTCACATTCGGGTCTCTAGCTTCACAGGGTGTAGAAGTCATTTTCCAGAATGCACTTGCTTCCTCTTGATGCATTCGTCTGTCCAGAACCAACCGGGACTGTAGTCCTCAGGTTGTCCCTGAGGCGGACTTGGGGAAAAGTAGTTCTGCAGAATTGAATCCTGGGAGCAGCGCTGGGCTGGGCATCAGACACATCTGGGTGGGTACCTTCTCTCCCCAGGTCGCTGGCCAGCATGTGACTCTAGTCCATTCATCTAACATCTTCGGAGCTTCAGTTTGCTCCCCTCTGAAAAATGAAGTGGAGAATATTGCCTCTACTTACCTCATAGAGTTATTTTAAGGATCAAAAGAGAGAATATTTGTGCAACGACTTTGTAAATGGTGAAAGACTGTTCCAATGAAACCCTGGGGAAACTCTAAGCTCAAGGTAAAGGTTAGGACTGGCTCTCATGTGTTTACTAACCTCTGGCTTCCGGGGACTGCAGGCCTGTGGACAGGTGACAGTGGAGTAAGTCCTGTCAACCAAGTGACCGGCTCAAGCAGGCGTCCTAAGCAGACAAGGCGCTCAAAGTGTCCATGAACTTGGGAGGACTTCACCTACCTTGAGCCCTGGCATTTGCCAACTACCACCATGCACCCAACACTGCACAAGAGCTTTCGATAAACAATTTAATTTTCACCTAATACAGACCCCTCTTTATAATTCCCACGGGGGAGACAAAAGGTTGGCGTGCACATCACTAACACCCCATCACACAGGTAGCACTAAACTCTCTCAGTTTTAAGAAGCCACCCCCCGGAGGAGGCGTCATCAGTGTAATGACAGCTTTCCAGAGGAAGGGACGCGCCGCACAGGAAACATGCACCCCAGCTGGGAGAGGCACGGCAATTTCAGAACGTTAAACCCTGTCCGAGGAGGAAGGTGCCCCTTGTGGAAGAGCTGCAGTGCTGACACGGACCAGCTTGAAACCCTCAGTGGGTGTGACACCAATGCCAGGCGGCACCCACGGCTCCCACCTTCCTGAGTGGACGTCTTTCTGTCTGTCCTGCTTGTCTCCATGGTTACTACGTTTTACAGGTTGTCGATGGCAGTGCTACATATTTTTAGATGTGAATTTTTACAAGTGAATTAATTAGGGAAAGAGCCTCTGTCTTGCTAAGTACAAAGAGTCCCCAACTTTTATATGTAACGTGTTCCCAGGAACATATATGAAATCCCAATGTGCCAAAGTCAGAACCTAGACTTGCGTGTCATAGGGGAGCTTCTGGCCCCAGCAAGCAAAAACTGAGCAGCAGGAAGGCGGATCCTATACTGAAAATCACTGCGTTTGTTTTTGTCTTGGTATCATTGGTTGAATGGCTAAACCATCACCCTCTCTTGACGCCCCTGGGGGTTCAGGTTAAGGGATCCCTAAAGAGGAATGGCAGTTAAATCTGAGCCATTGGGACCACAGGAAGCATGAACCCAGACGCAGGAGTTGAGGACTGATGTCCAGACGGGAGGCCTCTCCCGTTGCCCACCACCCCTCTGCTCTAGTGTTCTGACTGCCTACCTAACAAGCCTCCCTAACTGCGCCTCTGCCTGTGCCATTCTCTCCACCTGGAATGTCTCCCATCCTGTTTTGCCAGCCGAGGAGCATCTGCTCATCTTACATGACTCAGCCCCAGCCTTTCCTGACCTCCTCAGGGACACAGATCCCTCCTCCTTTATGCCTCACTAGATCATGGACGGCCTATGACATAAAGCCTTTATCGCTTCTACTCATTGGTGTCACTTTTCCCTGCTGCTAGATTGGGATTCAGAGCCTGGAACATAACAAGTGCCCAATACTTGGAGGAAGGGAGGAGGGGGTGGGGTCGGGGAACAGATGGAAGGGCGAATTTTGATGCTGTTCAACTTAGAATGTGTGGAATGCATTATTTGATCTTAAGGGTCTCAGGAATCTGTGTAGCATAAGGAAAGGAACCAAAAAGAATTTCTTTCTGGCTCCTGGTTTAGCATTTGGCATGCAGCTTGAAGAGCACTAAAGTATTCTGAAATCAAAACAGAGGACAGATCTAGTGACCCCACACTTAACACCCTCTAGCATGTCGGGGTAGTTTAATCATCCGGCTTATCCTTCTGAGACCATGAGAACAGAGGCTTGGAGAAGTGATTAACCCACCGGCCGTGTAGCCGGTTGGTGTTGGGGTGGTAATTGTGCGCAGTCTCCTGCCCTCCTGATCCTATGTTAGTTAATTTCACACATCGGAACACCTGTGTGAGTTTCATAAATTAAAAAACACAACACAAGAGAGAACCACTGATTTCACTTGATCTCTGTCAGTGGCTCTTGTAAGCTGAGGGCATCTTCATCCTAATGCAATCTGGTTTGCAGATTCTATTGGTTGAACAAGCTGATGCAGTAACTGGAGAGCGGTTAGGCCTGTTTGGTCACAACAAGGCCTCAGCTGGTGTTTCTAGTCTCATCAGTCTGGCTCCTGTCCTCAGTCGGGTCCGCGGGTTAGGAGAGCAGGAACACAAAGGACCCTCCTGCAGGGCAATAAGGAAAGGAATGTAATAACTGGCCCTCAGCACCCAGAGGTGCAACAGCGTCAGGAGTGGAGTGATGGGATATCCGGCCCCTCCCTCGCGCTGGCAGAATCTGAGGCCTTTAGAAAATGGAACAGAAAAGTCACAGCTTTAGGGAGTGTCTTCCCTTATTACTTCGTTCAGCACATTAACAAACTTCATGTTTCATTGAATGGGAATTCCCTTTTTGACCAAAGGGTAATGCTGTTCTGAAAATTCAATGTAGGAATGCCAGATGATAGCATCGAATGGAAGCTAAGGAAGCATTTTTTACACGTCTCTTGTAAAGGTCCTTTTCCTAGTAGCAAGCCTTCTTGTTCTAACCATGTGCTCTTTCCCAGACGTCTGTTTGTTGGAAAAATGGCTGCTTTGTGTGGAAATGATTAGCACGCTGCCTCATTTCTTCTGTGGCTGATTTTAAGTTGGCAGCTACTCTTTTCTCTGTGTACATACAGCCTGGCAGGAAAACGAAGTCTTCAATTTATTTAGGGGGCTGTCTTCCAAGTGTTGCTTATTGCTGAGAAGCTAAACGCAGTTGGTTTATGGGAGCACTGGAGCATCCATCTGCCCCCCAGAGCACCGGCCCGCATCTTCCCATGCTGTAGCCCAGGGATGCCGGGTTGCAGAAGAAAGGGATGGTATTTTGGGATCTACCTTGATTGAAAAGTTCTGAGGAATTTTCTTTTTCCATCTACAAGAACCTATAATCATGATTATCCTATCATGGCCAGAAAGAGAGCGTGATTTTTTACCAACTAGAGAGGGGGCCACATGAAAACATGCCTTGCAGCTATGGACACACTTGCATTGTCTCAGCCAAGAGTGCAATGGAATAAGTGATGGAAGGAGTAAGAGGACAAAGAAAGATGTGCTCCTCCCTGTGGGAACCACAGGTCTCTCTAGCCCACGGAGACCCTCCCTGGTTGCCCTTTGCTTGGAATTCATCTGTTCATTCCTAAAGTTTGTGTGGGCCACCTCTGCTGTGCCTGGCACCGTGCTAAGGGCTCAGGACACAGCGATGACCAGGGGAGAAGGGCTCCAGCTTCATGGCAGTGAGAGCCTACTAGGAAGGATGGACACGATGAATAAAAGTCACTCCATAGTTCCTGTCCCTGTGGATAAGTCTATCCAAAGAAGGCTTCTCTGAGGGGTGACATTTAAGCCCAGACCTAAAGGAAGAGCAGTGGCTGGTGGGTAATGCGAAGGGTGGAAGGAGGCACTCAGGACATAGGCCCACGGGCCGTATTGTTAACCCAGGTTGTTCATCCACAGTATCTGGCAGAGAAAGGCTGGGAAGCACCAGGGTCTGCCTCTATCTCCCCTGCCCCGGTCCCCTCTGAAGTCCAGTTCTTCTCTCATCAGGAGCTTTGGGGCAAATCACAGAAACACTCTGAGCCTCGGCTGTCTTATCTATAAAGTGGGTGATGCCTCCCAGGGCGTCGTGAACTAGAACTAACCCTCTGGTGACTGCAGCCCGGACCGTCGGGTGCTGGGAGCCCTCCTGGGGCCCGGGGCACTGAAGGCCTGGCATCCTCTCCACACAGTGCTCCAGGAACTGCAGCGGGGGCTTCCGGATCCGGGAGACTCAGTGCGTGGACAGGGAGCATCGCAGCCTGAGGCCGTTTCACTGCCAGTTCCTGGCCGGCATCCCTCCCCCGCGGAGCATGAGCTGCAACACGGAGCCCTGCGAGGAGTGGCAGGTGGAGCCCTGGAGCCAGGTACAGCCCCTTGGGCACCGTCCACATGGCCGGACCACGTGACTGTCTGTGTCCCCGCGCGAGTCTAGAGCTCAGGGAAGACCACACCTGTCTGGTGCCAATGACTGGCCGCCATTCAGTGACCCAATGCTGTGCGGGGAGGCTCACCGGGTCCACACCGTGAACTATGTTGTATGGTTCCCACGGTGACACACCAGTGCCTTTATTAGAACCTAGTGTCCCAGTGGATGCACAGGGGACTTGGGGTCCCTGCTGGGGACACGTACATGGACCATTGTGATGAAAGCCATTTAGATCAGAGCCTCACATGGCTCTCCTGGGCTTCTGCTTCGGGCTGGGGGTAATGGACAGACCCTTTACACAGTATATTTTAGAGTTCCTCCTTTCCATCAAATGCCCAGATCATTGCACAGAGAAAAAGAAGTGTGTGTGTCCGTGTCCTCTGTTTTGTGAGGGCCCAGACCCTGCTAGGTCTTTGTCCTACTTCAACACAGGGAAACAAGGTTACTATTCTTTGGTGAGGTATGATGATCTAATTGCCAATAGCAAATGCCTCAGTAGACAAAAACGCTGCTCCCAAATACATCCATGCCTGGTAGGAAAAAGAAAAAAGGAACCCAGCATGTTTTGAGGGTGTCTGTGAGCTAGGCATTTTGCCTACAATATTTGGTTTAATTCTCACAGCAGCCAGAATAGTAGGCCTTATGAATTCCACTTTATTGGTGAGGACATTGAGACTCAGAGGTTAAGAAGCTTCCATGAGGTCACACAACTAGAAAATAAATTGATGGACTATTAATTCAAGCCTAAGACAGACTCCAGGGCCTATACTCTTTCTACTGTAGACCTTAGCCCAGTGGCCACTGAGCAGAGAATGAACTGAGGAAAAAGAGTTAAATTAAGAATATTTGGGTGAACCTACCGGGTGCCAGGGAAGGGAAGGTAGAGAACCACAACTATAAGATATAGAGTTTGGGTCAAACTATGGAGGATGGATTCCCCTAGAGAGCTACTTGCTATCTACTGGGTCAAGCAGCCATGCTGATTTCTAACCCTCTGGGCCAACACCTGGAGTTTCCTGGGGCAGCAGCCACAATTGTCCCCTCTTTCTTGTCCTTCCACTGCCCAGCTCTGGAGAACATGAAGTACCTGCTATTCCCATGCTCGGGGTATAGGCCCTCGTGTATGCTGAGCCTGATGGTGGCTTCCAGAGTCCTGGAATTGACAGAGGAGCTTAGATTGCCTTGTCAGAGAAATGGCATTTGCAGGTTATCACAGATGAGCAGTTATATCTGCTCTCTGGTTATGAAAGAGATGTATCCTTTATACTTCCTCAGTAGCTTCTGGGAGCCCCAATCATGCACCTGTTCCCAGGGCCTCCTACCACCCTCCTTCTAAATGTCTCTGTTCTGAGCAAACCACCAAGTTGTAAGTCTTCCATCCTAGGCTCCGAGCAGTGAAGATGGAAAATGCAAAAGTCAGTTGAATACATCCTTGGAGCTGTTGAGGGACTAGACATATTAGGTGCTTTCCTGAGCCGTCATGATGCTGCTCTGTCCACACACACTGTCTAATGCCACACGGGAATGTCAGTGGAGTCAGCCAGCCCAGACTGCTTGCAGCTGTGGGAACGTCTCTGCTCCAGTGGGTGGCAGACTTCAGCATGCTTCAGAGTCACCTGGAGGGTTTGCTCCCACACGGATGTCTAGACCCCCACCCCCAGAGTTTCCAACTCAGAAGTCTGGGGTGGGGCGTGAAATTTTTCATTTCTAACAACTCAGAAGATGCTGCATTGCTGGTCTGGTGACCACACCTCAAGAACCACTGGTTTATATCTTCTTCATCCCTTTCACCTGGAGATTACACGGCCAGGTGGTCCTGAATCTCTATGCCCATGTGTAGGTACACACACGGATCACAAATGTGGGGTTCCTCTCTCTCCTCATGGAGTTAAAAATGGAGTGAATAAATGGGGAAAAGTCCATGTTGACTCTCAAAGTTAGAACATTGTGGAAGCAACAAATTGGTTCTTTTATTGAGCAGAAAGGGCTAATTGTATATAATTTGCATTTTCCATGGTACCACCATACACATAGTGCCTGACATGATATGGGCAAGATGTTGACACCCATCATTGTTTTGTGTGGTTTTTTTTTGTTATCATATGATAATTAAGATTCTTCAAAGTACTCAAAGTGCTTTTCAAAGATTCTTGGTGAATTATTTAATTCCCTCCCAAAATTTTTAGGCAGAGGAGACAATATGTCTTGTAAAATTATTTTAGTGAGCAAAAAGCTGACACCTTTTAGAGTTGTGTCCCTTGAGGAACCAACTTGTCATTTCAGATTTATTTTGTGAGCATTACAGCCAGTGCATGAGAACCCTGAGCAAACTTACTAACTTGCCTATTCAGAATAGACACACATGTAATTCACAGCTTTATGCAGTAGGAAAGAAGCTGAATCCCATTTTAACAGGAGATGAACAAACTTGTATTGCAAATGCGCGTGCTCACAGCTAATCATAATGAAAATGTCTACATTTCACATTCCCGTTTCTAGACCCTGGGGCCAGAAGGCAAAACACAGATAACAACATCCATTCTGGAATGACTCATTTCGTATTTTAACCAAAATTCCTTCTGTTGACATATTTGACATGGAGCTATTTGGCATCTGCTTTTTTCTCCTCCTCTTATCCTCAGAATTTCCTTTGTGTCCTTCCTTCTCTCTCATTTGGTTTCCCCACTGTTATTTGAAGGGACTGAGTGGTCGTAAGGAACTTGTAACAGAGGCTCAGATTCCAGTACAGATGCTAATATTCTAAGTAATACTGCACACGACAAAAGTGACCATAGAAAGTTCTTCCCTTCTCACTGCAGACGCCTCCGTGTGATTTTCTCTTTTTCTGTTTGTTTGTTTGTTTTAATTTTGTTTTATTGCTTAAAATATTACAAAGAATAGTACATATGTCTTCTTTTTTTTCCCCCTTGACCTTCCCTCGGCCTCCCCTACCCCCCAGTGTCTTGTGTCCATTGGTTATGCTTATACCTAACCTGTCCCTGTTGTATATTAGTGCTCCAGGTCCTGTGGAGGCGGAGTGCAGGAGAGAGGTGTGGCCTGTCCGAGAGGCCTCTGTGATTGGGCACAACGGCCGGTGTCCACTGCCCCCTGCAACCAGCACCCCTGTTGTCACTGGGCCACGGGGAACTGGGACCTGGTAAGTCAGTTGTGTTCTCTTCGTATCTTTACTCTAAAAAAAGCATTGGTTTCCTTTAGTTTCAAAAGAACATATATTCATTGTAAATGTTCAGTGTGTCCACTGACTTACAGTGTGTCTCTATATGTTTTAGAGCTAGTATCCTTCTGCTAATATACCTCTAAGTCTGCTAAGGTTGACCCAGAGCTGACATGGTGGTCAATGTTTGCTGTCCTGAGTTCAGAAGAGGAACAGATCAAAGACTTTCAAAAGATAAAGATCAAATACCAAACTTTCCAGAGGCACGAACCCTAAGGAAAGGCACTTCTGGCCTGAACGTCTCTGATGCTCTGGCTTTTCTTAGAGCAAATGGGACTCGCATGTGCCTGGAGCTTGAGGCTTAGCCTAACGAGCTCCAGGCCTCTTGTCCTCTGCCGATCAGTTTGCCAGGTGGCAGCCAGTTGGATGGAGAGACAAGGAAAAGAATTAAACTGGAAAGAAGGAAAGGATTTCTTATTCAAAGTTGTTTTATTGTATAAATAAAACTATCAGTGATACTGTAAATTAAATAAAATTCTTCCATAGACAGATTCAGTGGTCACTCTGACTTGTCTTATCCTGGATTCTCTAGAAAATAAAGCCTTGAGGCAAAATTAATCACTTTATTAGGAAATACAATGCCCGGGAAGCAGATGTGATAGGAAAAAGGAAGGAAACAGGGAACGGGGGAATTGGATACGAGCTGGTGCACTCCCAGCCTGACCTGGCCCGGGGTCTGGACCAGTTGATCGCCCATCCTCAAAAGGCCTTATAAAAGCCCTATGCACTGCTGCCTCTTAGGGCAGTTTGTCCAGAGGCAGGAAGAGAGAAGTCTACTGGCTCTTGTATCCCAGGAATGGGTCAAAGCTCTCCCCTCAATTGGCTAATACCCGCCATTGCCCTGGGTTAGTCAATGGGCAGGTCCCACCGGGTCTCGTATATCATTGACAACAAGAAAGCAAATGGCAAATGGCGATAGTTCATCTTTTCGTGGCTGAGAAGTGTTCCATTGCAGTATGTACCACATCTTTATCCAGTCCTCTGTTGAAGGACACTTAGGTTGATGCCATGTCTTGGCTGTTGTAAAGATAATTTTGCAATAAACATAGGGGTACATATATCTTTACAAGTAAGTATTTACAAGTTTTTCGGATAGGCACCCAGAATTTTAAAAGCATATATATGGTAAACTCAGACATTTTCTTACATGCCCAGGAATCATCTTGTCTAAGCTGCTTTTCCAGGCCAGCAAACCTCCCTTCTGCCTGCCGGTGGCCACCTCATGGCCTTACCATGGAGGCATGGCTTGAGACCACACGTGGTCCAGCTGGGTCCATTCCACATCCTTTCTCCATCCACTGTGGTTTTCCTCTCCCACCTCTCTTTCTATCCTGCTCTCAGCTTTCTTTGTAGCTCTGTGCCCTTTCCTCACATCTGATTTCCAGCCCCAGATCAAAGCTAGTTCAAAGAAACTGGGTTGCCAAGAAACCAGGGCCCAAATAGACTTTTTTTTCCCTATTTTACACATAATTCAACCTCTGTACACATTCTACTGAGAACCCAATAGTAAATTAAGCCCACTTCAGTCCACACAATCTGTCATATGGACTCCTCCTAAGTTCACATCTCCACATTATTAGTGCCTTTGACTAATGACTGTGGCTCCAAAACGGGTCCTGAGGCTTTCTACTGGACCACGGTGGGTTGGAGGCGCTCGGCTGAGTTCCCCTGGTGGGTCCGGGGGACAATTCTGATTTCCCATGTGCCCCGCTCTTTCAGTGCACGGCTTCCTGTGGGGGTGGCTTCCAGAAGAGGACTGTCCACTGTGTTTCCTCAGAGGACAATAGAACTGAAGGTCAAGACCAATGCCAGTGTGACCATGAACCCAGACCTCCCGAACTCCAAGAGTGCAACCAGCAGGCCTGCAGGAGGAGTGCTGGTGAGTGGAGGGCTTTGCTCAGGGGGAGAGCTTCTCACAGGTAAGTTGTCCTGCATGACTTGATTCCTGGGTCGCTGCAGTCCCCTTTACTGAGCCGGGAACTTACTGCTGAAAGGCCAGCGGCATCGCTGGGAGGAAGCAGTCTGACTTGGTGAGGTGTGACTCTGATTCCTTAAGGATTGTCTCATCCATTTACCTAAAGCCCATTCATACCGTCATGCCACATGGATGAGAATCACTTCTCCTTCTTCAAAGACTTTTCTGAGATGCTCCCACCATCTCAGAACCCCAGTCGTGTACTGCATGGCCTCTGTCATTCCAGCACCCTGCCTTAGGTTCCACAGGAACTGACTGAGATGCAGATCTGTGTGCAAGGGATGCATTAAGACAACACTCTTGGGAAGGACCATTCGGTGAGTGCGGGAAGCAAGACAGAAAGGAAGCCCGACCAGGCTGCCATCACCGGCCCACTCCTCACTTCAGCCTAGTCCCCTGGGGGAGCTCCAGGGTGGAAGCTCTGTCTCAGTTGTCTGTCACACACTCCAGCAGCTTTCTCTCTCCGCCTAGAAAGCCTTAAGTGCCTGCAAATTCACTTCCCCTGGGGTAGCCTGTGGCCAATGGCTGAAGAGTGTGGGGGTGTGACAGTGCAGCTCACTGGCTTCAGGAGCTGGACTGAGACAGAACTTGCATCCTGGAGCTCCCGGTGGGACCAGGCTGAAGCGAGGACTGTGCCGGAGATGGCAGCTGGCGGTGCTTCCTCCCTTCCTGTCTTCCTCCCTTCCTTCCTTTCTGACTCCCTTAGTGATCTTCCCTGGGAGCGCTTTCTTAATGAATCCCTTGACACAAACTTGCACTCAGAGTCTATTCCTGCACTACCTAAGACCACTGGGCTAGATTAACATATCCAAAATCCATAAAGAACTCATACACTCAGCAACCACAGAAACAAACCATCTGATTTTAAAAGGGACAGAGGACCCAAATAGACACTTACCCAAGGAAGACACATTGATGGCCAACAGATATATAAAAAAGATGCTAAACATCACTGGCTATAAGGGAAATGAACATCATAAACGACAATGAGATACTACTTCATATTTGTTAGAATGGCTATTATCCAAAAGACAAGAAGTAAGTGTTGGAAAGGATGTGGAGAAAATGGAACTCTCATACGCAACTGGTGGGAGTGTAAATTGGCACAGCCACTATGGAAAAGTGTATGGAGGTTTCTCAAAATAATTAAGAACAGGGCTACCATATGACCCAGCAATTCCTCTTCTGGTTATCTACCAGAAAAACAAATTGTAAAGATACAGGTACCCCTATGTTCGTTGCAGCATTATTTACAATAGCCAAGCCATGGAGCAAACAACCTAAGTAGCTTTTGACAGATGAATGGATTTAAAAAATGATAACTGATAATACTAGGTGCATGTATACAATGGAATGGAACTCAGCCAAAAAATGATGAAATATTTCCATTTTCCACAACATGGGTGGATATTGAGAAGACTATGCTAAGTGAAATAAGTCAAGTGGAAAATGACAAGACCTGAGTGATTTCACTCATATGTAGGGTATTTTAAAAAGCAACAAACCAACAAATGAAAAAGGAAAAAGCTCATAGATACAGACAACAGAATGATATTTATCAGAAGTGAAGGGCCCTAACCGGTTTGGCTCAGTGGATAGAGCGTCGGCCTGCGGACTGAAGGGTCCCGGGTTCGATTCCGGTCAAGGGCATGTACCTTGGTTGCAGGCACATCTCCAGTAGGGAGTGTGCAGGAGGCAGCTGATCGATGTTTCTCTCTCATCGATGTTTCTAACTCTCTATCCCTCTCCCTTCCTCTCTGTAGAAAATCAATAAAATATATTTTAAAAAAAAAAGAAGTGAAGGGCAGTCGGGGAGGATATATATGGTGATAAAAGGAGACGACTTTGGGTGTTGGGCACACAACAGAGTACACAGATGTCATATTATAAAGGTACACACCTGAAACTTATAGGATGTTATTATTAACCAATTTCACCCCAATAAACTTAATTTAAAAATCAGATGTTGAGGCAATGGAATCCTTCTATGTTGCTTTGACTTTATCTAATTGAAGAAGCAACACAGTCTTGGTTGAACATGCCTAGTATTATCAGTTATTTTAAAATTATATGTAGATTCTCTTTAACTGCCTTACTGCTGAATAATATAATCTTCAATAGTCAAAACTGGGTTAAATGCATCCCTGGTAGTTTTATCTTGAATTCAAACACTGAAGAGATGGTAACTAACAGTTGGCTGGCAATGGGTGGGAATAATGAATTCCATTCGCCAACAATTACCAGGGCATGGAGTTAATTATTAGCTTCTCTTGAAAGCAGAGCCACGCTTACTCATGGGGAAACATATGAAAGAGCAGCTGTAAGAAATTTCTCAATTGAAAAGCCACCCACCCACCCTGTCTGCTGTGCCCTCTGATATGCATTGAAACTAAGTCATTCAATGCCTAGATCCTTGTCAGCCATCACAGTAAATATACCCCCTGTGTCCATCTTGTAAGATCGGGCATGAGTTCATGTAAAGTTTGTTCTCCTCCAGGCCTTTGCACTTTTTTTGGGTGCCATCTAACTTGTTAATGAATTCAAATCTAAATCAAAATGACCATTTCTGTAGTAGGGACTCTAAAAACCCTTTTCATGTATCTGGGCTAAGAAATAAAACATCAGAAATTTCATTCAGAAGTATTTACTGAGTATTGCCTATATTCTATGCATTACATTTATAATTATTAAAAACCAAAGAAAAAAATCTTATGCATCCTATTCCTGGGTATTTTTTGTTTTAATTTTGGGAGTGAGGGGTAGAGAGAGCAAGAAAAATAATGAGGAAAGTAACAGGGACAGTACTTAGACCCAATGTTAATACAAATGAACATCTGAGCCAGCAAACTTCCTATTGGAGAATATTCTTGATGAATAGGATTTCGTGTAGTAATTCATTCATCAAATAGTGTTGATAATGGCCTATGTCTGAGGCAAGTGTTAAAAACCAAGGGTACAGAATAAGTAGGACAATCCCTTGCTTCAAGAACCCAACGTCTTACAGAAACTGTATTTGTCAACAACGTTGAAATTGATTTTCAACTTTCTTTTGTGGGCAAACTATTATCCTTTCAATCTGTACACAGCTGACAGCAAGGAAACGTGCTTATACTAGTAACTGTCCCTTTAAATTTCCAAGTATGCTTTCTGTTGAACAGGCAGAGGCAAATGGGGATCTCCTCTCCAAGTTACCCCTAGTTATAAGCATTGTGTATGATTCGGCTGGGATCCAGTTGGCTGATGAATACAACGAGCCTCATTGTTTTACAATAATAATGAGAACAGATGCAATTCAGCCATGTCATGATGTTGGGCTCATAGCCATTGCCTAAATGAGCTGCTAAACATAGGCTGGCCCATAGGGGCCAATATAGGCCACCACGGTCCTCCACTCTTCCTTCCAGCCCCCTGCTCTCAAACAGGGGGCTCCCAGGACTCAGCATGTGTCCAGGGCTCTTGAGGACCATTTGTGAAACCCTGGATGGAACTGCAGAGAATTACGTTAAGTGAAATAAGTTGGATAGAGCAAGACAAACACCATATGATTTTATGTATATGTGGAATCTAAAAAAACAACACAGATGATCCAACAAAATGAAACAGAAACAAACTCATAGATACAAAGAACACGCTGATGGTTGCCAGAGGGGAGGGGTTTGAGCAGGAAAAGGGGAAGGGGATTAAGAAATAGAAACTGCCCGTTATAAAATAAGTCACAGGGATGCAGTGGTCAGTATTACCATAATAACTACATACGATGACAGGTGGGTACTAGACTTATTGAGGGGAGCACTTTGTAAGGCATATAAATGTTGACTCACTGTGTTGTACACCTAAAATTAATAGAACATTGTATGTCGGCTATAATTAAAAATAATTTTTTAAGTCAAAAAGGAAATAAAAGGCCAGGCCAGTGTGGTTCAGTGGTTGAGTGTCGACCCATGAACCAAGAGGTCATCAGTTTGGTTCCCAGTCGGGACACATGCCCAGGTTTCAGGCTTGATCCCTAATAGGGGGGAGTGCAGAAAGCAGCCAATCAATGATGTTTCTCTCTCATCGATGTTTCTATCTCTCTATCTCTCTCCCTTCCTCTCTCTCTAAAAATCAATAAAAACATTTAAAGTAAAATAAATATTCCCAAATAAGGTCATATTCACAGTTACCAATGATAAGGATTTCATCTTTGGAAGACACAAGTCAACCCACAACAGGGTTAAAATTTGGGGGTCTCTAGGAGGCCCTTTTTGTAATGGAAGACACCCTTGAGAGAGATCACACTTTAGCCCTTAGAGAAAAGGCTTACCCATATGAACAGAACAGTCCAAGTTAGAGCGTAGCGCCACATTTGAGCAAACGATACGGTAATGACACCACTTCAGAGACTGGGATAGCAGAGGTCTGTGTGATCCACGATGGCCACAAGAAGCTCTGTGGAGAGAGGGGTGTAAGCGGAGATTTCACCCCCCTCTGTCTTCCTCTCTGGACGTAGCCCCAGGGCACTCACATACTCATGGCAAAAGGAATGTGGAGCAAAGAGCTACCAGCAATGCACCTGCTCCGTCCACCCAGGCTCCACGCCGAGCCCAGTTCCCAAACCAGAAGCCTGGGAAGGAACCCTTCCCTTGTCCTGCACAGCAGCCCATGTGACACATGGCCCAGGCCCCATGGAGAACGTGGGCTGCTGGGGGTGCGGGGGGAGGGCATGGGAGACAGGAAGCTCACATTTCCTTCCACAATAGGGATACTTGGCCGAAACATGTGCTTGTCCTCAGATGCCAGCGCATGCACTGAAGTTCCTGGGGGGTTTTAGGAGAGACGGGTTGCCATGACGGGTGTAAGAAGAGGCCTGAAGAAGAAAAGAGTGAGCAAGGAAGAGGTGTGGGCTTCCAGGAGCATTACAGGTTACCTATTGTCAAGGGCACTTAAAATCTGCTCGCAAAATGGAATTTGAGAGATAACAGAAGCTGTTGATTTCTCCACAAAAAATAAACAAACAAAAAGCAAGGCATCGTGGGGGGAATGATGTGTCCTGAAGAGAGAAAAAGAATTATTTTGCCTTTATGACCTCAAGGTGGGAAAGCAGAAAGAGGCAAAAATATTGTTACAGGTTTAGAGTAACGAGGGTATTTTCTGAATTTCTGCTTCTATCTACAGTTCTATTCACAAAGGACAGAAGCCTGTGTGTGAAGAAGCTTTTCTCCAGGACTGTTCAAGTTTTTTCTGTGAAGGAGAAAGACAGACACCCAGAGCTCACAGAGGCACTCAAGCCAATTTTGAAACAATTTCACTTTCTAGAAGCAAAATCTGTGACTTGGACCTTAATTAATTCCTTTCAGACCTGGAGTCTGTGGGCCAGGCAGTCTGAGTCTCAGCTATAGAGTGTGTGGTGGTAGCTCCTGAGAAATCTAGTCAAATTCGCTGCTTTGTGTTTGAGGGAAGCAACACACACACACACACACACACACACACACACACACACGCCATATTAAGGAGCTTCTTGCCCAGAGCTAGTTAGAAGGGAACAGGGGTTAGAACCCAGGTGACGAATTATACACTTGTCATGGGCATTATCTGTGTATCTGATGCCTTCATCTCCATGTGCAGTTCTGGAGGCAGGGACCACAGTGCTCACTGCTGAGCGATGCTCAGAGAGCATTGGTTAGTTGGTTGCCCGGGTGGTTGCCGGGTGCTCTGAGTGGCATGACTACTAAAAGCAAGAGCCGTAGGGTCAGTGCAGCCTGTGTCCAGATCCGGCTGTGCCGCTTGTCAGCCGGATGACATTGTGCCGGTTCTTCACCCCTGGAGGTCTTACATCTCGCATTTGCAAAGCAGAAAGAATCACTGTACTGACCTGGCAGCACTGCTGTGAAGAGGGAATGAAGCGGCGCCCATAACACACTGCATTCAGCTGTTGCATAGCAATGCTGTGTAGCAAAACAGCTCTGCACTCAGGGCCTTAAAACTACACTCATGTACTTTTTGTTCAGCCTCCACAGGTCAGCCAAAGTGCAGCTGATCGAGCCAGGCCTTCCTTGGCCTTGGCCGCAAGCTGTAGGTAGGGTTGAGGCCGGCTTCGTAAGTCTCTCATCCACCTTGGCTCAGTGCCTGCAGGAGCCACGTCCTCATGGTGAAGGCCAACGCCCATCAGGGCAGGGCCACCCCTCCCCACATCCCAAGGCCCCACCGGGATCATGTCTCCTGGCGTCCCATTGCCCAAAGCAAGTCCGAGAGCTGACCCCACAGTGAAGAAGCAGAGGTGTATTTACTTATCACCCACCTGGCACCCCGGCAAGGGTGGGAGTGTTTAACACTCTACAGGGGTGAAGGCTTACAACTGATGATTCCATTTAACACAGATACTTCACACAACGCCTGACACATAGCCAGTGGATGTCCACTATTATGATGAACTAGAGGCCCGGTGCACGCACGAAAATTCGTGCAAGAGTAGGCCTTCCTTCCCCTGGCTGCCGGCACCGGCTTCCCTCCGGCACCCGGGACCCTGGCTGCTTCCTTCCAGCCACCCGCAGGCACCTGGGACCCGGGCTCGCTCCCCTCTGGCCCCGGCTTCATCGGGAAGGATGTCCAGAATGACGTTCAGTCTAATTGGCATATTACCCTTTTATTATTTTAGGTTGTTAAGGAACCTTTCTGGGTTCACGTATGAATGAACAGCAGTTGTGCTCATTCACTGACAAGGATAACTGTCAGTACTTCCTGAATGTTTTTCTCCCTCCGCAGATGTGCTGTGCACCAAGGACAACTTGTCAGCGGGTTTCTGCCAGACACTGAGAGCCATGAAGAAGTGTTCTGTGCCCACCGTGCGGGCTCAGTGCTGCCTCTCCTGCGCCCCGGCACACGGGGTCCCCGCCCGAAGGCCAAGGAAGCCACAGTTGCTCCAGAACCCCAAAGCGCTCTAAGTCCAGGAGGGAGCCGCCACCATCGCCCGCCGCAGCCTGCTGACCGTGCCCTCTGCTAACCTTAGGAACCACTCCAGGAGGTGTTCCTCTGTGCACTTCAGGTCCAACTTTGCGCCATAACAAAACAAAATCTGCTGTGTCCCACTCACCACACAATGCCCCTTCGCAGGAGGGCTGGGCCCTGAACACTGGCCGCTCCCTGATCAGCAGGGGGACACCCGGGAGAATTAGGCCGCTCCTGGCTCAGCTCCTGGGACAGGTGCCAGGTTAAGCAAGTCTGTGAAACGATGCCTCTTTTTCATCCCTCAAAGAGAAAAACAAAGAGGCCAGGTTTTTCCCAGACTACCTCAAAGGACCAGGAAACAGAGCCACACTGATCCAGGGAACAAAGAATCTTGTTAGTGGATCTTGGTAGAATCATCTTGCCCCCACCACCCCTCTCTGCTGGGGCAGCTGTTGTTTAAAACATCACGGGAGAGCTTTTAAGAACATTCCCTTAGTTCATCTAGGCAGAGCGCCCCTTTCTTCACCCAGTTTTCAGGTAGAGAGGAGGAGAGAGTGCCCCTCCACCCTCGGTCTGTCCCTAACCCCTGGAGACCCCCTCTCTGAGCTGGTCAGACCCCCACGCCCGCCTAGAGACACTAGAACAAGAGGGAGCAGGTGGGGACTGGAGGGTTTAGTGATGCTACAGCATTTAGGTTACACAGAAGGCCAGGCTGGAGCAGTTGATGTGTGTTTCTGACCTGAACAGAAATTAATTTCGTGCTGGTACAGTTGACCCTTGCACAACATGGCTTTGGACTGTGTGGGTCCACTTAGATACAGAGTTTTTTTCAATTAAGATCTGAGCTGTTTCCATCTGCAGTGGGCGTCTGTGGGTGGGGAGGGCAGACTGGATGCATTGAGCTCTGCCGTTTTATGTAGGGGACTTGAGCATCCATGAGTTTTGGTATCTGTGTGGCGAGGAGTGGGGGTTGGGCCCTGAAATACTCCTTGGATACAAGGGGAAATTACATTCAGGGGAGGCAAAAGTTACATGAGGATTTTCGACTGCCCGGGGTTTGGCACCCCGACGCCAGCATTGTTCAAGGGTCAGCCATAGAGGAAAGGGAACTTGGGCCTTTATTCTTCCCACTTGCCTTGGGAATTTCCTTTCCTCACTATGAGCAAATGTGTCTTCCTGTCTAATTCCCCCTCCGGCACATCCCCTGCCTGAGACATCAGCTCAGGTCGAACATCTTTTCTTCTTTTCTTCGCTGGGTTCACACACAACTGCTCCAACCTAGTCCATGGCCTCCCCCCTCCCCCATTCCAGGTGGGAAAATGGAGCTCCAGGTTAAAATATCTCAAAGAATCAGATAAGTTGTATTAAATATAAGAACTTAGTACAAATTTCTAGTCTAGAGGGAAAAAAAAAAGCCCTTCTCAAAAGTGAGGTAAGGATGACCTACTTCCCAGTGCTTACTTCGGAGGGTCTTTTTCTTTGGGGGACACAGGCATGTCAAGGGGAGTCCAAAAACCGAAATGAGAGAAGTCTTATCCTGGATGTTCCCACCACCCAACAGGAGCCGAAGTAGGCCGTGGTCTCAAATTCAAGGCGAATTCCTGGCTTCTAAGGGGAGGCATTTTCATGAACTGAACCCAGAGGGAGAGGGCGGGTGAGTGGGTGCGTGTGGGGCCTCGAGGGGAAAAAGCCCTCAGCTCCTGACAGAGGGAAGGCAGGAGGGTGGCCTTCATGCGATGGGCAGCATTTTTCAGTCACAGGTACAGTTCATCTTCATCATGGAACACAGCGTCCCAGATCTTGAATTATCTATCCGTTCAGCAGATGGTGCTACTGCAAAATGGTGCTAATATCTAGATGGTGGCAGAACTCACAGAAACATGTAAATAGATATAGACACGGGCAAGTCCACATCTTCTGTTCGATGTGTAGTGGTGTTGCTGGCCAATGCCAGTTCTATTACTTGGATACCAGAAACTTAAACATTTTTATACTGTGTGCTTTTTTTTTTCAAGCCATCAATGTATGTTATTCTGATAAATTTCTGTGGAACACAAAACACTGGGGTTGGGATGAAATTCAAGATAGACCAGAAACAGGAGGCAAGTAGACATGTTTACCTAAAGCCAGGAAACTGATGTCTAAATAATAATTACAGTCTTGTACTCTCTGTCTTCAAATATAAGCATTGCTGGCCGGTGACAATCTCTGGTGAAATAACAGTTTTCGAGAGAAGGTGCTTAAATTGTTAGTGACGTGAGTAGAGGAGAAGGTGCTTTTTCTCTGATGAGACAATTCTCGAAGACTGTCCCTGAGTCGTGTAGGCTCTCCGGGGGGTTAATTGAGTAAACCAGATTGACTTAAGCTGGTACTGTACTATCCTAAGGTCATGCATGTCATCAGAGACCTGATATGACCAGTCTTACAAAACTCAGGAACAAACTTGGCTTCCTACTGACCTCACCAAACTTGACGGGGCTGGTCTTCCCAATACACAGAATGTTATTTGTGACCCAGGTGGCGACGCTGGCAGGACTGTAGGGAGGGCCTGGCCAGGTGCTCCACTGGAGGCCATTCTCCAGTTTCTCAAATAATGGCTTCTAGTCACGCATCATAGACATTCACCTCCCATATGGGGGCTGTGTTGTGAGCCAGTTGTGTGGCATCTGTCCATCTGGACCCCACATGCTACTGGAGTCATCAAACATGGTTGTTGCCTTGACAATCCCTCCGCTTTGGGTCATCAGGGTTTTGACAGGTCCCTGTGCTTGCAACAAGAGAGGGGCCTCGGGTTACCAGGGAGACTCTGAAGGCAAGAACACAGATGGTATCTGCGCCGTTCCTTCGATGCTCACAGGGGCCGACACAAAGCAGCATTGCTGGTTTATTCCATCCATGTCCTCCTTCCGTCCCAACTTGGACAAGTGAGTGAGAAGTCTAGCAGGAGACCCTGGACGCACGCCTTCTGTGACCAGAGCGGGCCGCCACCAGGCCTGGTGCTCAAATCCATTAAGATCCTCAGACCCAGTCTGGTTTACATTGCCTTTCTCCGCGGCAGAGTTAGCTCTTCTCGGAAAAGTTATGGGTTAATTTAATTCTTGAACACAACACATACTTCAGCACCGTGAGAAAGTAACACTGCAAGAGACTCAATAGGGAAACTTGGTGAGACAAACAATTGCTTGTTGGTAGGAAAGACTTCATGATGGGTTTTCTTAAATAAGAGCGAGCGCACCTCCACCTTCTCTCCTGACACCCAATTGGCAGTCATCCCAGGGTGATGCTTTCAGACGTTGAGTGAATGTTTTTGATAACCTTCATCAAGTTTCTGAAACACAGTTTGAGGGATTTATATTCTTTCAGGTCATAATTTCCCCATCAATTGGCTCCAGACCTGTAAACTCTGAAAGCTGCACGTCACTACCCCAGAGATGGCCGGTCTCAGCTCTTCTCCCTACTGACCGAAGGGGGAGTCCTGGGCAGTGTGTCTGATACCCGGTGCACAGTGGTTCACTCTTGAGAGAGTCCACATGACGTGAACTGCCTGGTGCTACAACTTAGCAACATAGTTGATGCTACTCCTGGTTTTTGTACTGCTAATTCAGATATTGATATTATTCGTATTTCTATTATTATTTTAAGTTATATAATTTTTTAAAAACATGGTTGGGAAGCACAAGCCTACCGATCCTTGCCCTCCAGAATGGTTGTGTGATGTACATGGCCCAAGCCATCGCCTGCCTGCATCCCTGTGCTGCTTTGCCAGGCCCAGCCTCAAGGGGCGCCTGCTGGGCGCCTCAGTATTTAAAACCAGACTGTACTCATAGCCTGCCGTGGTATGGCATCAATAAATGGCCAAACTCATTGGTGTTGCCATGTGATTCATTGACCCCTGCTGTGAGACGCCCTCCATCGCCACCACCACCACAGGTAACTGGAGTCTAGCAACCCTGAGGAGGATGCTGTCCATGTCTTCCACGCTCCCTGCAGATTCCTCCTACTTCACCCCTCGATCAGTATGTTGCCAGATGAGTCACAGCCCAGGCGAGGTAGAACTTGGGTCTCTTCTCATGAATGTTTATGCAATAATTGGCAATCTACCCTATGGTAATCGGAAGGGATGCCTAAAATTCTCTGCAGTACCAGGTCCAATGTATTCGGCATTACCTGCTCCTTGTTTTATCCAGAGTATCGGTCTGAGTCAGTGGTCGGCAAACTCATTAGTCAACAGAGCCAAATATCAACAGTACAACGATTGAAATTTCTTTTGAGAGCCAAATTTTTTAAACTTAAACTATATAGGTAGGTACATTGTTATTAACTTAATTAGGGTACTCCTAAGGCTTAGGAAGAGCCACACTGAAAGGGCCAAAGAGCCGCATGTGGCTCGAGAGCCTCGGTTTGCCAACCACGGGTCTAAGTCGAGTGTCCAGGAAGAGGTAAAAAACCACAGGAAGAGCATGATGCAGCCTCTGAATCATCAATTTGATTCAAATTGGGGGAACGGAAGCATTTTTTATATAAAATACCTATTGGGGAGTATGGAGTACAACTTTTTTGAGAAAAATGTTTTTTTGTATTTTTTAAACTATTTACGTATCTTTATTTTTAAAATATATCTTTATTGGTGAAAGCATCGCAGATGCAATATGGAGTATACATTTTTTAAATAAGATAGGAAGCTCCAAGGGCATTTCTTCAACCATAGGGACCACATCCGTCCCACCCCTGGGCCTCGCCCTGTGTTAGCGGTTCTGATGCTGAACGCTGGGTCCGTGCTCTCTGAGGCCCCTGACCTGGTAACTTCTCAACCCGGACATCCCCCGGGCCCTCCCCCGCTGTGGGGTTGCTCACTGCAGTCCCCCTGGAGACTGTTTACTTGCTGACCCCGTTTTTCCTGGCACAGTGAGCAGAGCACTGCTGGCTGCTGCCTTGCTTTTTCCACTCCGCCCTGACCTCCCACCTGACATGATCCCGGCTCTAATCTCCGAGCAGGATGCCAAGCCAAATAGTGGCGCTCTGCCCGCGTGGACGCTAGAGCCAACCGCTGAGTGTCGGTCACCCCGGGACTCTGAGGCTGGAACGAGCAACCCGTCCCAGGCTGCAGCTGCCTGGTCTGTACTCTGGCCAGAGGCAGGGGCCAGGGCTGCTCCCCCAGAGGAGGTTCACTGCCACGTTCCAGTTACTACGGCTACGCCCTGAACGCCCCCCAGACTTCTCTGTGCTCATCGACTCTGTGGGTCAAGGGTTCAGGCAGGACCCAGAGGGCTGGCTTTTCTCTGCCCCCTGACACCGAGAACTGTGAAAACTTGGCGTGAGTGACTCTGTCCAAACCCCTACACTGAGCGATGGATCGTGGCTCTAGCAGCCAGCACTCTGCCCCTGGGGGGACGCAGCCCACCTGGACTTCCTGCTGGAAAGACCAAGTGTGCCAAGAGAGTTTGACATTGTTCCCAGGGTTCCCTGGCCTCCCTTTTCTTAGCGCATTTATTAAAAATTCACAATTGTCCATCCTTTTTCTGGCCCTTTTGAGACGCGGGTGTTTCCTATGACCAGGGCTGTCACTCTCAGCGGCCTGCAAGCCATGCCTTGGATGCGATCCTCAGGGAGGGTGGGCACCTGTCGCCTGCCTCTGATGTCCATGAGTGCCCGTCCGCAGACACCAGGACCTGCTCACATGGACGGTCACCAACCTTCCTTCCCGATTTTATTAGTCATTTTTCACTCTCTGCCTCTGCTCCAGCCCCCTCTCCCTCCACCTCCCTCCTCTCTCTCATTCTCCCTTTAACGTGTCCAGTTGGCATTGAACTCACAACACCAGAGTCTTTCCTCTCAATGGGACAAGTGCCAGGTCTCTGGGGCTATGATTAAAGACCACCACATGGCCCAGCCACCTGGCTCAGTGGTTGAGCATCAACCTATGAACCAGGAAGTCACAGTTCGATTCCTGGTCAGAGCACGTGTCCAGGTTGTGGACTTGATCTCCAGTGTGGGGCATGCAGGAGGCAGCCAATCTATGATTCTCTCTCATCATTGATGTTTCTATCTCTCTCCTTCTCCCTTCCTCTCTGAAATCAATAAATAAAAATAAAAAGCCGCCACATGCACTAAGTTCTAAGTGCCAATAAAACTTCATTACTCACAATTCCTTATTTGCAAATGTGCCTATTTGTTAAAGTGTTTATATCTCCAAAGTCAGCACCAGTGGCGCTCCCGCAGTCCATGCAGAGCGGTGCGTCATCCTGCAGGCAGGTGCCCCGGGGGTCAAAGGGCAATGGCCTGCTTTTCAGCGCTCTCACTCTAAACCAGTGGTTCTCAACCTTCCTAATGCCGAGACCCTTTAGTACAGTTCCTCATGTGGTGACCCCCAATTTCATTGTTACAAATTGAACCTAATTAAAGCATAGTGATTAATCACAAAAACAATATGTAATTATATATGTGTTTTCCTATGGTCTTAGGCGA